ATGCCCATTATAATGTCCATACAATTTCCTTTTAAGATATTTCATTGGATATTATCTACTGATTTGGAATTTCAAATAGAAGTTAAAGTTTTTTAACGACATGAGTTTCTTCTGTGTAGTCAAACCATTCAATACAAAAGAATGTGTACTAATACTAAAATAGAATAAAATAGGGTATAAAATGTAGCATATCAAAACGGATGTCTGAGGTTCTGACTGGAACGGAAAGTCTGGATATTACCAGATTGCAAAGGCATTTGCCGGCAAAATGCGCAAAACGAAGCCTTTAAGTCCCCAAACGAAACGAAACGAAACGAGTTTCGTTGCCACAGATACTCCACATGCAAATAAATGTAGATACATAGATATATATATATATATAAATTTAGATACATAGTAGATAGATAGATAGATAGATAGATATGCGAGTTTGGCTGAATAAGCAAATGGATTCCCAAGTAGATGGATAGATTGGCGCACGTACACGGATTCCATTTGTCATTGGGCTAAGCTCTTACTAAGCGTATAATGACAGTTTTAATTATTCGATTTCCATTCATTATTATTTCTTTTTGTATTTTGTTTAATTACTTATGCAACCCGATTCGGAAGCCGCCGTGCATTTGCACTGACAACGAGAGCCCAACAAAGGTAAACAAATACAGGTGGTTCTCGGTTCAGTCAGCTCAGGTGGCCATTTCTTGTTCTCTTATTTTCCGACCGCATGCCAGGGCAAGAAAAATAAAAGCGCAACTATGTATGATAAATATAAAGCCATTCTACAAGTAGACATATAAATACTCTTTAAATTTTCGATTTTTGAACATTTGGAAAATTCTCAATCAAAATAATGCTATGTCAGCGTAGTTTTATCTTATCAAAACGTACTTAGTACAAGTACATAATACTCAAAGTAAGTACTCGAAATCCTAAAACCAGCACACAAAAGTTCTTAAATTAGAGACAGTATGGGTAAATATTCACATGACAAAGAGGAAAACGTGACGTCGTTTGAATACTCTTTCATATATATATGTAAATATATTTTAAAAAATATTATCGTTGTTCGTGACACGGCAAGAAAATATGCCAATTTTCCCGATATAACCAACTTAGGGCAATCTTATCAGACTGGTACTTAAACTTCGAGTATGAGTGTTTAAGATACACTTTAAAAAAGATAACCTAAGTCTAAAGTATCACTCTTTAAGCTTAACTATCCATTTAAAACAAAAATATTCTTCTGCTAAATTTCATACTTATTTTAGTTTCAAATTGAAGATGTTTTTTTGGGGGCAAAAATAGCTTCTTCTCTTGAGGCACTGACCTACACACACATGTGTAGAGATTCCAACGTGCAACGCTTTCAATTTGATTGCGCAATTTGCAACAAGAATAACAGAACACGACGGCAAGGTACATAAATATAAGCAAATTGCACTGCAATTAGACAAACTGCAGGTGGTTGGAAGGGGAATGTCCACAACTGCGGGCAGAATAATAGCACTTCGATAGTTTTAAGAATTTTATGAATTAATTAATGGGTAAATATTTGTTTGATCTATAATGAATATGCTAATACTTATAATGGGTGTCGGTTTTGGTACACTTAATCAAGCCAAAAGCTAAGCCTTTATCTTAGTCAACAAAGTACATGATAATGGACAGCTTATCCCATTTAAAGTTTGAAAAATACGGCTATAAAGTTCCAATTTAATATTCATCCACTATTTAGTCCTATTTTCTTGACCACAACTATAGATATGTTTGACTAGTGGGCCAGAGGGGGGAGGTTGTGCTGGACCGGCTTCGCTAATTAGACGCTCAGAACATCTCGTCAATAGACAATGGCAATGTGGACTCTCTGCTCCAGCCATTCCACCTGCCCAGCCTACCACCCCACCTATAGCCCCTATACTGCCCATTTCCGATTCTCGACGACGTTTTCCGACGACAGCCAAGGTTATAACTATAAATAGATATGGAGAAAAATCAACAACAACAAAAGCAACAACAGCAAACAATCAACAACAAAAACAGCGAGTTGCAAAATCTATTTTTAGCTGACAGCAGCGAGACGGCGACTGTAAAAAGAGTAAATGAAAAACTTGAAACGAAAACAAGACACGAAAAATAACACTAATTTGTAGAAGTCGAACATATAATGCCCTTAAATGTGTAATTTCTAATCTACAATAAGGATAATATTAATATTAAATCACAATAAAAAATAATGATAAAATAATTTTGTATCTTTAAGATCATAAAATATCCATAAGATATCCGTAAGAATTAAGTTCAAGAAAAGCTTTAGAACTTAAAGAAGAGATATATATAGTGTTCATTCATAGTTTTATCAATGATGTAGTAAAACATCATACCTCAAACTACTTCCATAAAGATTAAATAACAACGAATGATAAGTTCTTTGGCAAACATTTCAAAGATAGCTGTGCTAAACTTAGAACAGATTCCTTTCATATTTTTAGCAAGTATAAAATTACCTATTATCACTCAAATCATTGAAAGTTGTTTGTTTGGCAGGAATAATAAGTCAGTTGCATATCAACCACTGATAAATAGGTTAAGTTTACAAAATTATAATTTAGAAATGATTAATAATAGTGGGGTTTGTAATGCACATCATCATTGAAGTTTTAATATAATTAACATCTACTTGCCATATTTACCATGTACAAGCAAGAAGGTTGAATAAAAATGGTACATAAACACGACAGCAAACCCGTGCCCCAAAAAGCTATGAAAAAGAGCTGACCCGAAAGATTCTTCTCTCCCTTCTCTTCCTATTTTCTGTTGCCTCAGCTGGCGGTTTTGGCCCAGTTTAAAGCTTTTGGCAGCAGCGGCAATGGGTCAAATTAGTTTAGCTGCCGCCGAGTGCTCTGTCGTCCCCTCGGAACCCAAAAGCCAAATGGAACCGATGCCGACGTACCATGTACATACGTGACAACGCACACACGCACAACAACGCACTCTATGAGAAAAAGAAAAATAAAGAAAGAAAAAAAAAATATAAAAAAAAACACGCACTCTCGAGAAATCAAACTTGAAGACTACGTCACTACGAAAAGTTTCGAGCTCGTCGTTTTCCCCCCCACAAGTTTCCCCACCCTCGCGTCATTTGCTATATCGATCCATGGGATGCAGCGTTTTGTAGCGGTGGAAATGGTTGTAGTACACTGAGAGAAAACAATGAGGGAACTTGATAAATGAGTCTGTTGATATATTAAAATTGATATCTTCCACTCAAATAACCCTTTTTAAAAGCAGCTAGCCAACTTTAAGGCGTATTAAGTATATAGTACCATAAGATCACTCAAATACAATATACCCCTATTAATCTACTAATAATGGGTATGAAAATTCCACATTTTCTCTTTTGTATAGTAGTTGTACTACTTAAGGGCCCTGATAGTTGGTGCGGGGCATAAGGTCTTTGGCCATCGGATAATGCGATTAGCCTGTAATGATGCACTGCTGCATTGTTTGATATTACAAATAGACGGAAAAACAAGATAACTTGGAAGGCATAAAAGCTCACCAACATGCATGATTTTGCTGGTTTCTAAAGGCATAAAGAGGGTAAGTAATGGGCTTCCCCCTATTTACAAACTCAAAAATTATTAAATACATTTCCAAATTCTAGAAAAGGGTATCGTGAACAGCAATTTAAGGCAAGCATGTCAGTATTAAAAATATTCAAAAGCCAAAAATATTCTATAAATACAAATATCATTCGTGCTCCCATTTGCAAAGCGAGCAATTTTATTTTTAGGTGCTCCGAAATTTGCAATTTTTTTTAATCAATTATTTCGCTCGGTTCTTTTATTTGGCAGCCTCAGCGATGTCTCCCAAGAAAATCAAATTAAAGCTTGAAACTTTTGATATTAAACAACGAAAAAAGTATAAATTTAGATAGGGTGACTGTTTAGAATTTCTTCCGGTGTATTTTTAAAGTTTATTTTGTTAATAAAAAAAATTGCAAGTTTTCAATTTTTGGGTGTCAACTGTCTTCGATCACATGGCACAGTTAAGAGCCCGCGACCTGGGATCTGCCCTGTTGAAAAACAGACCATTAACCATTAAGCAATAAACCCCCACCTCACATCAATCAATTCACCTGGTGTGTGACGTATTGGCCTAATCGGTTCATTGAGTGCCAGAATCAGAGTTCGTGACAAGTAACTGCGACGTTGACAAAAACTATAAAACTATAGCCATAAACTAATATCATAAATCGTACGCAACCGAAACGGTGTTGGATCACAAGGGATATGGTAGTCACACTACCATGATCCCTACAAGGATCGAAATATGAGATTAATGACCGTAGAATAGATAATTATAAAGATAATAATATTGCGATGTGCATGTGCGAAAAGAGTGGAGAAGTCAGCATAGCGGAATGCCATATTCACCACAGCCATTCGAAGGCGAGAGAATCCCCAAACGAGATTTTGCTCTCGCTCTCTGAAATAAACCGGCTTCGGTTATAAATAATGTTCGCTCTCCGTTTATTTATCTTTAGACCAACTATCTCGGCTGTCCGAATTTAATAACTATTTGCATGAAATGTTATTTTACTATTTACAAATCCCGCAAAAATAATACAATTGCGGTTAAAATAAGAAGAGTTGAGTATGGTTTTCAAGTTTTCTCAATGTTAGATTAACATTTTTATTACTTCTGTTAACTTGTTATATTTGATGTTTATCATTTCTTGTAAAAATTAATACTTTTGAATAAAATCTTTTCCTTTAAATACGAAATTTGAATCTATCTAGCTATCTGAATTTATTAATATTTTTTACATTAAGAGTGGGGTTTTAAACACGAATTTCATACTTTCCTTGCCTTCTTGTATGAACTGTTATGTGAAGAACGGTTCACCGTGGTTGCTGTTTGCAGGACCAAATTTGTTTTTATCTTTGCTTCAAATTTTTAAAATTATTAATATCGTTTGTAGCTGAATGATTTCACAACAGAATCATAGTCCACTGTGCTGCAAAGATATTCAACATAGGAAAAGCCGCTCTCTCGAACTGTTAACATTCGGTTAAGGCTAACATGACGAGAGAACGATTGAGCGAAACGAGAGAGTGCAGTCGGCAGAGCCGTGACAGAGCCTGAGCAGAGCAATATAAAGCGACTGGCCCGAAAACATTTGTATTTGTAAAAAGCAAACCAACGAGCGGATAAGGCGAAATACCTGAAAAGCAGCAGCGAAAAACACGAAAAGCCAGAAACAGAAACCAAAAACCAAAACCGAAACAACTCGAACTTCGTGCAGTGTGGCAAATTGAATAAGAAACAGAAACCGAAATATAAAAGCCAGAAAAAGAAGCGAATCGAAGCGTAAATAAACAGAGCAATTTGGAACAAAACCAAAACAAAAAAACACAATCAAAAACTTAAAAAAAAACAGCACTCAAAGGAACATTTTTTGCGGAAAACGCGCGGAAAAGTGCATTTCAATTTTTTTCAAGTGAAAGTTGGGCGCCCACGCCCACCAACAGCGTCTACGTCTACGCCTACAATGAACCGTTCGAACAGCTTCGTTAGCTCACTGAAATGGTGGCCACTGCAGGGTCACAATAACCAACCAGTGGCAGCGGCGCCACCTGCCGGCGGTGTTGGCTACTCCCAATCGGCGCCCAGTTCGCCCACCTCCACATGGCCACCACCACTGCAGCAGCATCAGAATCCCACCGGCGGCCACCGTCTCTTGCCACCCGGCAGCGCCCACAACAACACCCACCAAAAGGTCGGCGGCGGTGGCACTGTGGGTGCCACATTCGGTAGCAGTGTGGCCGTTCAAAAGCTGCGCGAATCCAAATGGTTCAAGCCCGAGGAGCAGCGCATCTTTTGCGCCGTCGTCGAGTGCGGTTTCGTGGTCGAGATCCGCAGCAGTGCCGCAGCCGAGGCAGCGGCAGCAAATGCTGCAGCAGCCGCTGCGGCAGCTGCCTCCGGTGATGGCGATGTCGATGTTGATGAATTGGATGAACTCGAATGTCCACTGACTGTACAGCCACCGAAGAATCAACCATCGAACCAAAACCAATCCCATTCCCACCCCCAGCGGCTGGTTATCCCGCGTAATGGCAGCAGTTTCCTAGAGACGCAGGACGAGAACGAGACGCCAGTCGCCTCCTGGTATGGCATCGTCCTCTGCAAGGTGGCCAAAGGTAAGTGCATTGGCAAGGGTACACGGGCATAAGAGCAAAAGCTATTAATTAGCGTTTTAATATGTAAAAATAAAAAGGGGGGAAGACTGTATTTACATTTTCCCATTTCCTTTTCGATAAGTAACTACACTCAGAAAAACATTCACCAATAGGTCATGGGATATTCACTTTTCTCATATCTTTTTGATAAGCAAATAATTATTAATTTGATAAAAAATAACTTATTTACAAACAAAATGCGCAGGTCAATTGGATTTCAGCGGCAGATATATCTTTTCGATAAATATATTATAATAATTCAAGGAAGAACTAGAGACTCACTTTAAATAATGACGAATCATCATGAAAGGGTAAAATTAGCTAGTTTGGTTATTCAGTTGTGTTTTTGGTAGAATTTGAGTTAATATGATTATGTTTCAGACCATAATCATATCATATTGATTCTTATTCTGTGCAGAAAGCGAAGTGCAAAGAATACAGTAAACCCCATGGAAAAGACGTCAATCTTTTTGCAGTGTATGTTGTATTTTTTTTTTACCTTCATTAAGATATCTTTGTACTTGAGTGATTACTCTAAAGACAGTAGTCTTAAGTTTTACGTTGAGGTAAGGGCAAGTTAATGCGGGATTCTCTTCGAGATAAGTTAAAAAAGGGGTAAAACGCTTACGTGGTCTGACGAAATCCGCAAGGCTTATCTACTATCTAAATACGAATACAATGCATTACTTTGCTTAATACTTTATCATTATGTGCAAATTTTGCAAATATAATATATGTAGTTTAGATATCTTGATCACATGCATTTTTATATGCAGAAAATGTTACTGGGATTTAATAATTCTTTGTGAAGTACTTTTGTGGTTTGTTATCTTTTATTAAGATTGACTAATGCGCTTTGGACAATGCAAAACAATTTGTTCATACATATGTATGTATATATGAAAGTTGGAGAAAACAAAAATGTTAATCCCCTAGAAGCTTTTATAAGGTTTCATTTAATTACTTGAAAAGTTCTACCACAAATTTCAGTCACTTGGTAATTCCCAATCTAATGCTCTTGTTTGCTTGTTCTATTTTAAGTTTTAGGGTTTTTTGTCTTGTAAGTTTATTTAGCCATTTGCTGAATAGTTTAACAGTTTATTTACAAAAAGAACATATTAAAGTTCAACTTGCCAAGGTTCCACTGTACTTTCTTCTTAAGAAGCTTGCAAGTAGACTGCTGAATACCTAGCCAAAACTATTAAGTTGATGATTAATCACAAAACTTCAGACGTCAGAGAGCCATTAAGCTAATCTGTGGGTTTTTGGGTGAATGTCGAAATTGTAGAATGTCATTCAATAAACAAACATCACACACATGCGCACTGTCTACGGCGTACACCATGCACAAACACACCCATACGATAGTACCGTACTTTTATCTAATCGGAAAGAGAATCCAGCAGCAGCAACAACAACAACAGCATTGAGCTTATCATGTGTAGCGCCTGCAGCGCAGTCAACGTCTACGTCAGCAGAGGCCATTCACAATGATGCGTTGACAGTTTCTAGAACATTCCAAACTTTTAACCAGCAAAAAACCCAAAAAAACAAATTCAAAAATGAAAAAAAAAAAACAGTAAAGAAAAGAGTCAACAATAAACAAAAAGAAAAACAAACAAAAGCTAAACTGGAGACTGACTTTTGCATCATGTGCTCCAAGTCACGCACAGTTCACTGTACGGTAAAGACCCACCAACAATGATAACTAGTTAAAACAACAACAGAGAAAACTTGAAAAGAAGCGAGATTAGGATTATGATTATGTTGCGCGGCCGGGTCTTTACTGTGTGTGTGTGTGTGTACAAGACTTGGGTGACAAGTGGTGAATTTTGTAGCTCAGTTACACACTCACCACACCCACACGACTGTTGCATCTCGTGAGCCGGCCAATAACCCACCACACGTGCGATGTGATGCACTGCTATATGCAAACAGTGGAGGTCACAAAAATGGCTCCGTTATTTAATTTTTTTATATAATCTAATAGCAGTCCATCATTTTAATGATCTAATGTTGGAAATTTGAAAGTTTTTATCAAACATTTATCTATCTATCTATCTCCAAATTACCTAAAAAAAACAATGCCTTTCCTACAAAAAAAAAAGACAATGAAGGATTGGCATACCTGATTGATACCATTATAATGGTTCTGACGAATCTGAATAATTGGAAAACAAGTTGCCAGGGGAAATAACTATCGATTCACCTTGAAGATAATGCCCAGTGTCATTATTTTCACCCGATTTGTATGTACAAATATGAAAGTATGTAATGTATGTAAATATTCGTGATAATGTGAGCTTTTCTGGGCGGCCAAAGGGCTTAAGTGCAGTCCAGTTCAATCAATAAAACGCTGCATTCTAGCGCTAATCGGTTTCCATGGCACTTGGCCGGCCAGTGATTATTGTCCTAAGGCAAATTATACCATGCACTTGTCCGATTACTATATATATTATGTACGAGTATATGTATATGTACATATGTATATGTGTCCCCAAAGAGCCAAAGAAATGGAAATCGCTGGGCCCTGCGCATGCGTGCTTATCAACGATATTTACAATGGCCCCATGACACGTACATACATATACGGCAAACCCACTTTCAATCCCCTTCCCCCCCTTTCGAATCTGACGGGCAGTATCAATTTTGATTGATTATCTTGCATTAGAAAGCATTACAGAAAAGGAAAGATGCATTAAATCCATAAATTTATTAAGGGGTTTCGGTTTGATAGCTCAGGTGACACAGAGGATTTTCCGCTAATGTATACAGTGATCATTTTTTGTTATGAAACTTTAATAAGGAGGTTTCATCCTCTATAATTTTGTGAATTATATAAAAGAAAGATTATTAAACAATTTCATTTAATAATGAAATAATTGTAATATCATCAAAGTGAGCTCACTGCAAATGCATTTTAAACTCAAGCCAAAAAAGGCCTTTCTGTTTCTAATGGAATCTAATTAGTGAGTTAATGGGAATTCGCTTTCAAAATTACTGCCACGAGTCCGAGGTGATATATAGTATATATATATATATATAACAGACAAACAGTAATCAAACAACTCATTCAGTCAGTCACCCAACCACCCACCAAATGCTTTAAAAGAAATTTTTTTAAATGCCTGCAAATTGGTTAGACATGGCAACAAATGAACGTCAACATATATTAAAATCAGAAAAATACCATTAGAGCAGGAAGAAGCAGAGGCGGCTGAGTGTAAAATACTAAGGAGTGCTAATTATGGCACGGCAGTTAATTCACAAACGCTATAACGAATTGTGCAATCAACAATTCCGAGCAACAGTAAGCAGCAACTCATGATCATCATCCTGGTTGCCTGTGATCGCTGTTATTATTATTATTATGTCACTTCGAAACCCCAAAAAAGAGGAGTTTTTGAAAGGTGTCAAGTGTGACGAAAAAAAAAATACGTATACGTAATATGAGGAATAAATTTTAAGTCACCCTATAGATCTAGTCAACCTATGATTTATAGATACTTTTTCAGTAAATTCCACCTTTCATCTACTAGTTCTTCACAGTTTATTATTATTCTTCGGGAATCTGTGGAAAATCTTTCAATCTGCTCAGAATTTGAAATCAATATTAAGTGATTTGCATTTTTGCACGTACACATTGCATTTGGATGCACCTGTTTGCGGAGATCTGGATACCAAATATTTCGTAAATAGATATTAATGGAAATTTATGTACTAATTTGATTTTTGAAATTGAATTTGAATTGCAGACAATAAACCCAAGCCCGAAACCATTGAGATATTTTCTGTGAAAATACGAGAGAATGGTACATACAAACTAATCAAGATGCAACTTGCCGATATTTGGAGTCATGGATGGGAGTTGCGCATTAACAATTTCGCTGACAAGGAGAAGGTGCCACACAATGAAAAGGACATTCGCAATCAGGTAAGAAAATGTTATAAAATAGTTGCTTAGTAGATAAGCTAAAGGACTCTCCGATCAGTTCTTAGATAGTAAATTATCATCAATAAAAATTTCTTGTTACTCGCAGGTGTCTGTGGCCCGCAAAGCCAAGCAGAGTCTTTGGAACAACAACAAGCATTTCGTCTACTGGTGTCGATATGGAAGTCGTCAGCAGGATCTGCGGAAGCGACAGGTAACGACGAGTGCCAATCATGTGCTGCTGCACCTGATCAATTGATAAGCGAAGCCAGCGGGCAAAAAAAAAAAAAAATGCAAAAGCAAAAGGCTCTGTGCAAAGACAAAAACAAAACAAAAAAGAAAGCGAATGAAACGCCGACACAAAAACTAAAATTTTGCTCCCATTTTCCTGATCCCAAGCCCCCACCACCCGCTCTACCCGCCACCCGCCACATGCATTGATTGTTGTAGTTGCAGCAGCAAAAACAAAAGAAAACACAAAAAGAAAAACCTATGAGAAGAGCCATGTAAAAAAAAAACACTAAAACATACACTGACCAAAATCATATACTCAAAACTTTTGCATGCACGAAGAAAGTGGACTAAAAACGTAGGAAAACTAGGAAAAAAGAACCATTAACTTTTCTAGGGCTCCTATTAACTGATTTATATATATATATAACCATTTTCATCCAACTACCGAATCATGCTTGCTTTGCTCAGATATACATATATCTATATATATAAATATTGATTGCCAAAAAGAGATGCTAACCTACTACGATTTTTAACCAGTAGAAAAACTCTAAAATGCATCAATCCATAGTTTCCCACTCATCAATTTTCCGAGTAAACTATCATCTTTCTACAGTACTGAAAGTATTATTTGCTGTATATATTTATATTTGCATAATATTATTATTTATTATTTATTCTGTGAGACTGCAAAACTCTGTCCATTGTTGTTAATATGTAAAATCGAAAGTCGTGGTCCTGTTTTTTTTTGGTTTTCGATTTCGTCAAGACATATTTCCTTGATTTTCTTTCTCAACCACTTTCAGTTAGATTTTCCGGATTTCAAAGCCCAAATACGTTGAATTACATACGTGAGAGTATAAAATGCCCTGTGTTTGGCACACTCAATTGTAATGGGTTAACTCTGATGGATAATCTGGCGGAAGGCGTATGAAAAAGGCGAGAAATGAAATGGCGAAAATGAAGATCGGAAAATCGAGCTCTACCGATCGCCTCGACCCTTCCTCCATTTACTTCTAAAACTCTTCTTCCGGCACTTGTCTATGTACATACATATGCATATATATATATATATATATTCCGGGATATCATTCCGGCCAAATTCATCATCGCAAAACCTGGAGACGTACGTATTTCTGTTTGTACTCAGTGTCTTACAAAGTGAATCTATATTGCAGATGTCGGAGTGCGTGAAATGGGGCAGCGTGGGCATGAATGCGGGCATGTTGCTGGTGCTCAATAATAGGCAAAAATCCTATTCCCACTCAAAGTAACTAGAAACCACCATCCATACCCCCCTCTCTTCTTTACATTTTTCATTTTATATTCAATATATATATATATATATAGATATATATATATATAAAACTTGCCAAGTGCTGCTGATGGTGTAGGCCACAGAGAACGATTTTATATAGCAAACAAGTATTAAAGTAAATTCGGATGATAAGATAATTTATGGCTTAAGAACGCCAAGGGCAATGGAAAAAAACCAAATGCAAATATACGTATTAAGTGCAAAAAATAAGATAGCCAAGAAAATTTAGATCAGGCCGAGAGGGCTAGAGCGAGGACGAGGGCGAGGACTTTTTGGCAGTATTAAAAAAAAACAAAAACAAAAATCAAAGAGTTAAAGTAAGAGCTAGGGAGCAAAGCAAGAAAACATGGCCTAAATCATACGTCACACACACACACACAAAGAAAAAAAAAAAGAAAAAAGCAAAGAAAAAACTACAAACTATAAACTACACTCCCGCCCATGATTGTATAGCTGTTGCAACTGGAGCTACAATTTATCAAATACTTTTGTATTTACAATTGTGTATATGACACTATGAACGAGAGAGAGAGACACAACACACACAAACACTGTGAAATTCGAAAAGACTTATTAAATATTTGTTTGTTTTTTTTCGTCCTAATTAATTTTTTTTTTGTTTTCATGTGATTAAATACTACGTATACATTATTATAAATATATATATACATACATACATGCATATATATATATATATATTTATACATTGTGAATGGCAAGCATATAGATATTTGCAAGGCAACATTTTTTGTTTTCTTTGTTATTTAAGCGTAATTAAGTAATAATGCCCAAAATGGGTCTTTAAAATTGCTAAGAAATCAAGCGAAAAAAAACTCTACGTAGCAGGCATATAAAGTAATATTAATTTAGAATTGTAAAACAATCAAAAACATTCGAAATGTTTCGTTATGTATTTAGCTTTAGCTTTACATGACCGATAAATGACATTAACTGAAAGACGACTTAGAACGGAAACGGAAACGGAAACGACAGCAGAAACAATGGAATATCTAAAACAAAAATGGCATCTTACAAAATGCCGGACAATATTTTTGTACATAGAAAAGCTGGACGAACTAAGGACGTTATAAAAAAAAAATTCAACACACAAAAAAAGAGAGAAAAATTTATAAAACTTTCAAAAATAAAAATAAAACGGACGCTAGGTCGTAAGATATATTATATACATTATTACTTATTTTGTTTAAGTTTTGTCTTTTTTAAGCAATTTATAAAATATTTATAGTAGTCTTATATACATTTCGACAATGTGAAGAAAATTTGAATATGAAACGTTTGTAAAATGCTTTATATTGATATTATTATTAAATGTTTACCAACAAATACAACACAAATGTTAAATGTTTTTCTATTTAACTGGATTGGGTGAGATATTCTAATAATTTGAAATAAAAAACGGGTAAGTATTAAGTACTTCCTTTTTATATATTATTACTTCAACAAGCTATTAAATCGATCGATTCAGAACTATTAAATGATACTTGGGTGCGCGAGCCTTGACATTGCTAACGATAGAATGCCTCTTATTATCAGAAAGATAAAGGTACCGCCTTCAATTATAATTGAATTGTTTAATTTCAACCGACCCATTTTTTTTTTTAACTTTTATCAAACTGGGCAGTGTGTTCTTTTTTTCGCTATTTAGATAAGCGAATGTCAACTTAAGCCAGAAAATAAATCAAGGAACGATTTCGAAAGAAGATAAGTAGTAATATGTGCCTTTTGCATACAAAAGAAGAATTTTTTTTAAACTTGGTTCCTTTCGGCTTATCAGAATATGTGTTATATCTTTTTTAAAAAAAATGGGTGTCTTGTCATATAGAAACAAAATAATAAAATGTATTAAGTATATATTTAAGTATTTAAATTAAATGAAGGGCTTTAAATGTTTTACTTCAAATTAAACGGTGAAGCAATGTTTATAAAATTACTCAGAAAATGAAGAAATCAGATTTTGGATAATATAAAATAAATGTCAAATATCAGATTGCAATTCATTTCGGCATTTTGTTAAAGGAGAAATAATTGACCCCAAGTCAAATATTTAATTAGAAAAATCACAAAACTAAAGAATACTAAATTCTTTATGGGAATTATCAATTTTATGATATAAAAACTAAGGAAAACCCTTGAAACTAAAAATTTTTAAGGTGGATTAACTAATTAGGGATCAAAAACGTCAGAGTGAAGGAAAGGACAATTGTGGACTATGTACAGCAGGCTACTCACCTCTCGCAGTAATCCAAACAGCACGTCCGTGGACAGGGACCGCTCGTGGGCTTCGTCCATTATAATGGCCGAGTAGCTATCCAGTTCCGGATCTCGCAAACTCTCTCGTAGCAGGATACCGTCCGTCATGTATTTGATTACCGTGCGCTCTGAGGTGCAGTCCTCGAATCGAATAGCATAGCCCACGTCCTCACCTGCATAATATGAAGGGTTAGGATTATAAAAAAGTACTAAGAATATGTAAAAATGTTTGCGTACCCAGTTGGGTATCCATCTCGTCGGAGACTCGCTTGGCCACCGACATAGCAGCCACTCGACGGGGCTGTGTGCAGCCGATCATGCCACGCTGGCTATAGCCATCCTCGTGTAGATACTGTGTTAGTTGTGTGGTCTTTCCACTGCCTGTCTCGCCCACAATAATGATTACCGAGTTCTCACGGATCACGTTGAGCAACTCTTGACGCGAGGCAAACACGGGCAGGAAGCGACGCTGCTCTGAAATGGTCTTCTTGCGTGAAAAATCACTCTTGCCGCCCGTCTCCTGCTCGCGCATATGGTCTGCAAACTTTTGGTCCTTGCGATAGTCGGCAGTGTCGTTGTCTTTGTCGAAACGTGCATCCTCATCATCTTGCGGCCTTTGGACACCCATAATGTTGCCCAGCTTAGTGCCGCCCAGCTCCCAGTGCTTCTTCTGAGCCTTGCGACGTTCCTTTTGCTCGCGATATGTACGAACCAGGCCGCTGCCCTTTCGTGCAAGCAATGCCATGTCCGAAGTTGGATCCTTAACAGGCACCACCGGCTCCGGCTGTTTGGTGAACACAATTCGGCCGTCAAGGAATGGTGGTATAATGTGGTGCACCAGCAAATGGACTCGCTCCAAGGCCTCCTCATCGAAATCGTCATTTACGTTAATCGACGTGACAACGCCCGAGGTTAGCATGCGGTTTCGCTCCCATAGCTCGTTGTCTCGATTGTTCTGCCGCTGCTGGGCGCTGATTCTCTTTGTTCGCTTCTGCTCCAACTGCTCCTCGCGCTTGCGGAAGTATTCGGAGTTGGCACCGCCAAACGGATTGTTCTCATCGTCGTAGCCTTCGTCTATGTTGTACCACTCGCGATCCAGTCGACGCTGCTCCTCCTCCCAGAGATCCAGCGACTCTGGATCCTCGTTCCAGGGTGTGGCACCACTGCGTTTGCGGTCGTGGGCCCACTGATTATAGCGATGCGCTGGTGTAGGACGGGCCGAGTCATCCTGCCTTCCATGTCGTCGACTGCCACCGCTTCTCACTGACCAATCACGAGACTGGCTTCCATGACGCCTGGGCGTGGGCATATCCCAGTCTGACTTGCGGTGGCTGCCCTCGCCATCCTCATCGTCCCAGGAGCTATTGGATACACCGCCGCTACTGGTGCTGCCTGGTGTTCCAGGCTCCCGCGGCGTGTGGACACTGCGTTCGGACAGGGAGCGATCACGATCACGGTCCCGATCGCGGCTGCGATGACGATCGTGGTCCCTTCCTCTGTCCCTCTGGCGACGCCTGTCGCGGTCTCGATCCCGCTCTCTGTCTCGATCCCTGCGCCGATCCCGATCGTAATCACGATCGCGATCCTTGTCCCTACTCTCCGATGTCGAGGTGGAGATGGGCTGTCGTCCGCGCTCCTTGTCCCGTTGGATGTGCTCACGTAGACGTTCGCGAGCCTTTACGGAAACACCGCCAGTGTGCGTCGGCGTCTCGTCCTTGTGCTCGCGCAACTGGCCGCGCAGCTTTTCGAAGCTCTTGGTGTCGGGTTTTTTAAAGGCAAACTCACTAGAACCGGAACTGGAGACGTTTGGCTGTGGCGTAGAGCTTCCACCGGCTGTGTCGTCGTACTCGTTGTCCTGAAAGGAGATCAGACGCTCCGAACGTTCCTTTTCGGCACGACGCTTAGCTGCCAATTTGTCTAGTCCCAATAGTGATCCCTGTGGCACCTTGAATCCACCGCTGCTTTTTGTTTGGGCGGCGTCCTTGGGTTTCCGTATTACCAGGCCGCCGCGTGACTCCTGGCCATCGGTGCCCTCCAGCCGATGGACGCCCGCCTCGTCGTCTTCGGACATCCTGGTTTGTTGGCCAAATGCAAGTTAGTTTGCTGCCTCTTGCCTTTTTTGCAAGTTCTCCTCGTTGCCGCAAAAACGATTCATTCGTGTTGGCGTTGCGGCGGCTAACAGCTGATAGCTGGGACTGCCACCCTGCTCGAAATTGGAAGTAACTAGTCTAGCCGTTGTCTGCTTTCGTTACTATTCTGTTTCTCAGAATCATTGTTTTCGTAGCCAATTTAAAATTTTGGTTTATATTCCAGAAGTTCTTGTCAGTAACTAAATTTTGAATAAAAATTAAAAAAGCACGATTAATCGAAATATAAATTTTCCTTAGAAAAAAATAATACAAATATTTCTCTATATATTAAATGCAGATCGGTTCAATATTTGTTTTGTAATTACAAAACTTTAAGATCTGACCAAAATATGACGATTTGAGGTTTTTAATGTTTTATAATTATTGTATTTCAATTCAATGTAAAGTACAGAACGGCCACGACTGTTCTGAACATTACCTTGCCGGACTACTAAATATTAAAACTTACTGGCAGCACCCAGATTTCGCGCCTTTAAATCTTTAAAAGGCGCCAATACTCACTTTTAGTGAAACTTTATTTGCCGTTAATATAATTTTAAATTCGGACTAGTCCTTTTTCTCTGCCTTTTGTGGCACAGTCTGCCCGATCCAGTCGAGATACGGCGGATTGCCATTCTGGATGGGCAACGAGATGACCTCGGCAACGCTATATGGATGATTCTCGCGGACGAACTTGCTCAGCTCGTCTATGCGATTGGTGCGCGTCTTGACCATCATCAAATACTCGGTGTCTTCGTTGACCTTCCCTTCCCACATGTAAATGGAGTCAATGTTTGGCACAATATTGACACAGGCTGCCAATTTCTGTTCGATGATGCTACGGGCCAGCTTCCTTGCCGATTCCCGATCCGGAGTGGTCACAAATGCCACCGAGCTGCTGCCAGCTTCGTAGTTTGATTCCCCTGATCCTGCTGGCGCTGAGGCTGCTTGATCACTCATCTTAGAACTGGAAGAGAAGCACCTTTGCTGGCTGGAGGGACACGTACTGCTCGTTGCAAATGCCGGCTGGATTGTGACGGCGGTTGTGACGCTGGCCGCGATCAAAAGGTTGCGCACAAACGACCAGCGAAAGGGCAAGAACCTTGCACAGATCCGATATTGCATTAACATGCACTTTGCACAACACAAAATCCCAAGTTCGGTGCAAATTGCTATAACAGATAGCAATAACAAGTTAAAGCGACGTATGACAGGCGACGGTGTTGCCAGATAGCTTCTCACTCGAAAGTTGCTTACGCTCTGGCTATTTTCAAGCTAAATTTCATTATTTTAAATTTTGTTTCCATGAGACAAGTTTTAAAAGCGTTTTTGTGATTTTAAAAATAAAATTAAAAACGTAACAGTGAACAAATGTTTAAGTTGACCATTAAGCAATTATTCTTTTAAGTTGAAATATTTTTTTGAAATATTTTAAGTTCAACCTTGGTAACGATTGTTATTAGGTAAAAAAGGCATATTTGTAAGAAGCTCTTTTGACATATGAAAATTTATGGTCAATAAAATCGTGAATCGATTCTTTTTTTAATTAAAACCCAAGTATATTTTAGTTTTTTGATTATTTAGAGCTTTTAAAAAGAAACTCTGATTTTATAAGCTTAATAAACACCAATCACCGATTAACATTTAAATACGAATATAATCACAACGCTATAATAAATACTTGGAGCCATAAAACATAACATTTTATCTTGTGGTTGGGGGGCAGTGAGTAAGATGCTCGGAATAGGAATCTCCCCCTATTTACGACACAAGTCGTGCATTCGCATCATTGCTTCCGTAACTTCCCCCGAATTTCCCTGCTGATTGGGCGGCATCATCGTCAATGTCTGCCACCAAGATGTCCGGCACCTGCCGACTGCCTCCGCCTCCTTGCCGCACTCCGTCCAGCGAGTGTAGGTTGCTTTCCTGTAATCATATGGATCATATCTCTTCCGTAGATTTCTCGCCCCCACTTCTACTCACTCTGGGGCTTTCGAGAAGCAATTCTTGAGCCATCGGATCGCTGGACGGCGTCTGTCGTGGACGGAGCAATCTCTGGAGAGCATTCGGCACGCTAAACTGCTGAGCTGCGAACGAGGACGAGGCGCTGGTGGTGGTGAATGTGTCGTTGCTACCTCGGCTGGAACCTGTGCCCGTTCCTGGGGCGAAGCCAACTCCGGCCTCGGCACGTTCCTGCTCCAGGAATTCTTTGGTGCCGCCGAGCGTCGCCAGCGGATTCTGGAAATGCATGTTAATGTTGAGATCCCTGTGGCCGCGCTGCCGGTACTGATAGTACATGTACCCGAGTCCCGCGACTAACGATCCAGTAGCCAGTACAAAAAGCGCCATCAGCCAATGGTTGCCCGAATGCTCTTGCTCCAGTTCCATGCTGTTTGTAGCTCCCATAATGGCCACCTCATTGCTGGATCCATGAGGACATCTTTCGCCTTCGGCTACCAATCGATTGCCGCACATGCACTCGTATCCGAAGTCTGCCTGTAGGCACAGACCATGGCAGTGGGCATGCACGCAAGGATGAGACGACCGTTGGGGCTGCCGGGATTTGCCAGCCACCACAATGTTCTGGGCATTCAGAACGTTCAGGCTGATTTTGTGGCATATCCGGGATCCATACATGGCACACTGTACCGCCTCAACAGAGCCCAGGTTCACGATGAACACATGATTTTCATACAAGCTTAGCCCAGATGGATGCATTAAAGCATTCGACTTCTGCAGCATTATCTCCGGCCTACGTATTGGTCCCGATTTTAGCCTATAGCTAATCCTTTCCAGGGTTCGTGTGTGCAAATCCACGAAATATAACATCTGCTGATGCACATCAGTGGTCAGGGCTGTCATAAAGCTTTCGCTTTTCTGGAGCAGCATATCCTTGCGACTGCCATCCAGCCTGGCCATGTGAATCTCCGAACTCGTCTGCCCGAAACCCTCCGTGCGTATAGCTATGTAGAAGACCTTAGCATGATAGCCATCAACAGCCAGGTTTTTCAGGTGCTTGGGGCTCTTAACATACAGTATCCTTCCGCACATGCGTGCATCGAAATTGCATGCATGTATCTCTTGCGTACCACTCAGCACATAAACATTGCCAGTGACCCAATCCAGGGAGAGTTTCGTGGGTGTCGGAAGACCCAAAGCCCGCACTACCATCTTCTTTTGGAGGTCGAACTGGTAGAGTATGTCCTCATCTTCGGACGAGAAGTAGCCCATTTCATTGTACGTGTCTACATCAAAGCCACTGATACGCGAATCATTCGCCGACCAGGCGACGCTAAGCATAACGGGCTGTTGGCTTAGGTTTCGTACCTCGTTGAAACTGCTAAAGAGTAAAGTGGCACCGGATTCAAGGCTTTTGCAACTAACTCGATCCTGTCGCAGCATAAAGTCCGCATGGCACTGACACTGATAGCCACCCAGCGTATTCTCGCACAGCTGGGCACATGGTTGCTGCTCCTGGCACTCATCTATGTCCGAGCAACTCTTTTGATCCGCGTCTAGGCGATAGCCATCGAAGCAGGAGCACACGGCGCCTGCCGGCGTGGCCCTGCACTTGTGCTGGCACACTTGACGACCAGATGCGGATCGGCAGGCTGTGGCGCATTTGGGGCCCTCGTCGTGTCCGTTGGAACAGTCTGGAAAGTTGTTGCACACCCGGGACATGTCCACGCACTCGCCATCTTGACAGTCAAAGAGATGTGGTCGGCAAGCCCGACTTGAAGTACCCCAAGGCTGAATCTGGCTTTGGTTATGATTACCCTTCTCTAGTTCGCAGCTTAACTCGTCGCTTCCGTCGCCACAGTCCTTCTGACCATCGCAACGGAACTCCCGCCGTATGCACTGCCGTCCGGAGCGGCACTTGAATTCATAGATACTACACATATCGCCGCAATCAGCCTCATCCTCACCACGGGGACACTCAGTGGTGCCATTGCAACGCACAGCAGATGGCAGACAGATCTTCAAATTACTTGTACACTGGAACTGCTCCTCCGCACAGGATATATTCACCGTCGAAGGGTCTTGGTCGCAGTTTAGTTCATCAGATCTATCGCCACAGTCATTATGACCATCGCACACCAGACTTCTATCCAGGCACTGTCCCAGCAGACAGCGGTGCATGTTTGGCGGACAGCTACGATGGGCACACTTGTCATGCTCATCGGACCCATCGCTGCAGTCAATTCTTCCGTCGCACTCCCAGCTACCCGCAATGCATGATCCACTGCCGCACTGGAACATCCCCGGTTCGCACCTTGACGTTGCCTCGCACATCGTCTCATCAGAATTGTCACCGCAGTCATTACTTCCATCGCACACCAAGCTTGTATCCACGCATTTTCCATTGTCACAGGCATGCTGGTGGACATGGCATTTCCTTGTTTTGTCTGTAAAGGGAAAAATAGTGAGATTTTTAATGGTTATGTCTATGTCTATGTGGACACTTGATTTAGTTTTTCAAGGATAGCTTACCGAACTTCTCGCAGTGCTGCTCATCCGAATGATCATGGCAATCTATGCGTTCATCGCAGCGACGATCCCTGTCGATGCACTGCTCTCCGTTGTGGCACGCAAACTGTTTGGGCGAACACACAGCCTTCGGCTTTTTGCGGTGCTTTTCGTCGCAATCCATCTCATCTGAGTTGTCCACGCAGTCGCGACGCCCATTGCAGCGATGGGTCATCGTCAGACACTCACCACTATGGCACCGGAATTCGCAATCCAAGGCCTCCAAACAAGTGCGGTTGCCCGCATCACGGTAAACAAATCCTGCGGGGCACAAACAGATAGAGTGGTAGGGACCCTCGCCAACGCAAATGTGCGAACAGCCTCCATTTTGCTGCTGGCAGGGATGCGATTCTTTGCTGAAGGATGAACTGGCGGCCAAAGGAATTCTACTGGGTGGGGCAATGGGCACGTATGGCAAGATGGCGGCGGGATCACTTTTTTCCATTATATCAATCATCTTCCGCGGGCCCATATTACTCTTGTGCGTCCAGTAAATTCGCTGTGTGCCCATTTCGCTCCAGAACAGATCCTGATGTACCAAAGCCAGACTATAGGGTCGCCTCAGTTTACCTCGGAACGTTTGACTAAGCGGCATCTTGTAGTTTGAGTAACTAATCCTACCCAGATCGCTGTCTGACCAGAAGAGCGTTTGACTATGGTAATCAGCGGTTAACTTGATGTCATCATCTCCCAGATCGTCCTCGAAGACATGTACCTGCTCGCCTTTTCCGCTTAGCGGTATCCTGTCGATGTGGCTGTGCCGTCTTGCCTTTAGCACCACATACAGATAACCTTCCGAGGGCATAACACTCAGTCCAATGGGCCACTCTTGACCAGGGAAGAAGCGGATCAAGGCACGATGGCGCGTTTGCAGGGAGAGCAGCTCAATAACGCCCCGCTCCATATCCGCCCAGTATAGATTCTGGCTGAGATGATCAAAAGCCAGGGCACTTATGTTGCCCAGATTAGAGCGAACCAGGACGGTTGTCTCGTGGTGCTCCGGCTGATACTCAAGGATCAATCGTTGGTCATTGTCCGCTATTATGACGCTGCCATTGATGCGGTTGTAGACCATTTCGTTGATGTAGCATGGCAGAATGTACGACTTGCTCACCTGATGGCGTCCGAAGGCGGTGTGCTCAATTTCTAGGAGCACCTGGCCCAAACCCACAAACAACCGCTGGCGCTTCTCCATAAGCATACAGCGCTGGTGATCTGGCGCTAGTCGCATCCCATCCGGACAGGCACAGCTATGACCGCCAGCTTCGGGTTCCGCCAGTAGACAGAGGTGCGAGCATTTGGAATTTTCACAACCGTGTTCGGAAATCGGCTGTTTGGCCGGATGATAGATGTGCACAGCGTAAATGCTGCGGTCCTTGACAAGGATACGATGATCTTTGCCAGTGAACTTGTGGCAAGAATGTAAGCTCTTTGTAACCCAATCTGACCAATATAGGTGATCCTCAAAAATGGCCAGACCATAAGGATGCTTCAGCATTCCATCCATCATCGTACGTCGGCCAGTGCCGTCAGGTCTCACCGTTTGGATACTTCCAAACTTGGCATCCACCCAGTAGATCCTTTCCTGGTGCATATCCAAAGCAATTCCATTTGGCCAGTGAATATTGTCGCTCACAATGGGACGCGATCGACTGCCATCCATGGAGGCTCGACCTATCATGGGTTTTTCACCCCAATCCGTCCAAAACATTAGACCACGCTGGGGCCACACAGCCAGGGATCGCGGCTGATGTACATCCTGCGTCACCAGGACGGCACAATTTAGACCATCATTCGAGCAGACGGCTATATGGCGCATAATGTTGTCCGAGAAGTAGATATTTTGCGTTAGCCAATCCACTGCCAGGTCTTCCGGTGCATCCAAGCCGGAAGTCAATAGGATTTCCGCTTGCGAACCGTCGCTGTTTGCCTTCACAATGCTCTCTGCCTCGTTCTGGATGTTGGTCCAATAGATGTGACTGCCATCAAAGGCCACGCCAATGACCTTGCTTAAATTGCCGGCCACCTGGTAGATATGATTTCTTATATTGTCGTCACCCAAGTGCATTCCCATTATGGTCATCTGGGTGGTGTACAATAGAAGAGGCTTCTGTTCTGAGGAACCGTGAACTATGGCGCGGCATGTGCGATTATCTTTGTCCAGCAAATATCCCACATCACAAACGCATCGATATCCTCCCGAAGTGTTCTCGCATCCCTGACTGCACAGATCTTCTCGCTCTTGGCACTCGTCAATGTCCTCACATTTGTCTTCGAATTTGGCTTGACGGAAACCCGACGGACAGTAGCACTCGGCTCCTCCGGTGGGCATCATATGGCACGTGGCGCCAGGCGGACACTTTTTCGTTTCACAGTTCGGTTTGGAGTGACAGCTTTCAGACTCATCGCTACCGTCGGAACAGTCAGGGTGGCCATCGCACACTTCACTCAGGAGCATGCAAGTTTCGCTTTTCCGGCACAAGAATTTTCCCATCTGTGGCTGACAAAGGTTTACTAGAAGATAGGATAGGTTGTGATAAATACCCATACAAGTATTGGATTATATAAATGAAAAATGAACTTATTTCCACTTACATAATATAAATATAATTTATATTGAGACTCACCGCATCCTCTTTCATCGCTTCCATCTCCGCAATCGTCGACGCCGTCACAGACCCATTGCTTCTGTCGTAGACATCGTCCGTTGGCGCAGAGGTGGCCTTGAGTGGAGCAGGTGGCCTCTACCTGTTTACAACCGGCCACCTCGTCTGACTTGTCCGCGCAGTCTGTCCTGCCATCGCATATGAAGTCAATTGGAATGCAGGTGCGATCCTGCTGGCACGTGAACTCATGCTCGCTGCAGTTGCGCATGCGATGGGTAGTGTCCCCGAATCGGAAACCTGACCTGACCGGACAGTTGAGTTCATCCTCGCCGCCGGGACAGTTGTTGATGCCGTTGCACATTAGTTCTGCTGCCAGACAGGCTCCGTGTGGCTGAGCACACGGGAACCAATGTGGCGGTCGGCACAGTCGGTAGTCTGGATGTGCAATGAAGATATTTTTATGGGATTATTTATGGGGATCTGCTATGACTCTATAAGATTACCCAGCACTCTATGATAACTTTATCTTATATCAGCAGTGGGAGAAATGAATTAACCCGTGCTTACCGCAATCCAATTCATCCGAGCTGTCTTTGCAGTCTCCGTGTCCGTCGCACATCTTCGCCTGTAAGATGCAGCCGCCGTCTCTGCACTGGAATTGTCCCGCATCGCACCGCGTGTCCGCAGATCCCGGCGTGCCGGCAGCAGTAGCACCGCAAAGACCAAAAAGAATGAGCAGCGTGATGGCCATGTGGCGCACAAAAGCTCGACGGGATTTGAGTCCATCGTTTAAATCCTTTTGTTGGTACTTTCCGGATTTACTGAAAATGCCTCCACTGTAATGGCAAGCGCGTGTCTGCGAGGTTAGGTTGAATCCTCGCTGGCTGGCGGTCATCTTCGGGCTCTCTGCCCGCTTTCTTCTTACGCTGGGGGGCACCTGGTGCTCGACCTGGCACAATCAACACAAAACACAAATTTTTTTATAAACGATTAACACTAAAGACGGATATATATAATAAAATTGGAACAGGAACAAAGAAGTATGGCTTGCAGCTTGGAAAGCCGAAAGCGAATTGAACGAGAAAACCGTTTAATTCCAACGGATCAGGCCAATTGAGCGGGAGCTGGAAAACCTCCGTTACTTAAGAGTGACCAGAAGGACTTCGCAGAAAGATACCAATAAGCTCTGAATAGGAGAAAGTAAAAAATAATACAATTAAATATTTAATAAACTTATATAACGTATCATTAAAATAATCAAATAGGTAAATACATTTTTAAAGTTTATTCATTTAGCTAAGGCTAACAATTAGTTAAAACTAAGAGCTAAAATTGAACTAGAAGCAATAGAAGCCTTCAGCTCGGATAATATTAGATTATGGCTTGTATAGATATATCTTACATATGTATGTTAAGCATATGAATATATAGAAAATATTACAAGGGCTTACTATTAACATATTATTTACATAATATGCGGTGATTAAATTGAAGTTGGGAGATGTTTTGGGAGTTGTTCAGGAACTTAACGATGTTTAGGGAGCTTGTATTTGTGCTTATTGCGGTGATTGGAATGAATGAATTAATGAATAATAGGGATCTTTGCGTGGAGAGGGAGACCAGGTAGAAATAATATGATGGATGTCTACCGCAGTTATGATTGTTTACCCCCGTTTGGTACCAGGTTGAGTATTTCACCTGTCAACAACTACCCAGCCCCTCAAAAACTCTTCCCTAAATAGAAGTGAACAAATCACTATCACCTGACTGAGCCTAGGACACTCATACGTAACAAATTCCCACTACCTTGACAGATCATAAAACAGCTTGTGTCCATTGTGTAACAAATAGTTAGTACATAGTAGTAGTTTTGCCAAGTGTATAGCAAACACCGCAACATTGTGGCAACGCCGCGCACTATCAATTTAAATATTTGACCATCAAATATCGCAAAAGGATTGCACCAAATATAGAGTGATTAATTGGCTGGCCATGATGTCAGCGGTGTCTAAAAAATCTCCAACAAAATTACTGCAATGGGAAACGGCGGGCTCCGAAACAGAAACATCTACCCATTTGGATGACCCATTGCAACAATTAATAACGGTTATGCCGCAAGATTTATGAGCGACGACATATAAACAAGACCAAAGCGCTTTAGCCGTCTCAACCGCGAAATGTCATAAAAAATCAGAGACAAAACCCGAATTGCTTAGAAACCAGAAGAGCACTCACAAATTGTATAATTAAGGAAAAGAGCGAGTGCGAGTTCGACTTCACACGCCGTAGGGGGCGTGCCGCACTCATAAAAACAAAACTAATGCAAAGCCAAACCCAAAACTGGGAATACACTGGCAGAAAAGTGATTGATTTTAAAATGTATGCATGCCAAACCGCGTTTACCGTAAGCTTAACCATCACTGTTACACCACCTGTAAAGATATTCAGATTTAATAATGATATGTTTTGTTTGAATTTTCTCCTTGTGTATATACCGCATATGGCGAACGTGGTTTTTCCACGGCCAGACAATTTGGTGGCTTCTCTGGCGGATGAGTCGTGGGATATCGAACGAGCCGCGATGACAAGCGAACATGACGAACATTGCGGAGCACCTGGGACTCTGTAGAGTCTACTCTTCTGTCCGGTTGCGGGTTGCCGGTTGCCTGCTGCCCGTTGAGTAATGGGCCCTGTCCGCCGACATGTCCGCACCAAGGCGTTAAAATCAGTTGTAAAGTATTTGGGGTGCACATCGTGCTTCGCGCTTAGAAGAGTATAAAAACTAGAGCCGGCCAATGGATCAGCAACAGTTGATCGTCGTCGTCCATTCGGTGCATACACAGCTATTCGAATCTCAATCCTTTCAAGGAACATACAGAACCTATTCCTCAAAATTCTGAAAATGGTAAGTGATCAAGGCAGGGCCAAGAAGTGTCATTGTCAACTGATCTTATGCTGATTTATCTGATTTAACCTTATGATTTTTATCCGCAGAACTCCATTACCGTGCTCGCAATCCTTGCCGCCTCATTGGCCATCTGTGCCGGTGATGTGTCCCACTTGTCACGCAGCTACCTGCCTCCCTTGAGTGGTGGCTATTCCGGCTACTCATCCGGTTACTCCTCGTATCCGTCGTACTCGAGTGGATCCGGATATTATGCCGGAGCCGGCAGCTATGCCTCGCCAATCGTCTCGTCCAGCTATAAGAGCTATGCGGTGCCGCAGTACACCACCTATTCCACTCCATCGCGTACCTATTTGCCAGCTGATACTGGCTACTCTGGTTACTCCGGATACTCTGGATACTCCGGTTACAATGGCCTGGACACCAAGTATGGCAGCAATGGTGGCTACGTCTACTAGGCGCACCCGGTCGCCGCGGCAATTCAATTTGGACGGCCAGCAACAATGGACAACTATATTCCTATAATTTTTTTTTTTGCCTTGGCTAAGCAATATTTTTGTACAATTTATGGCTACTAAAAATTTTCGAATGCTTTATACTGATTAACATACATTTTAGTGTATTTATTTTGGGTGAAACAAGGCTATAAAGGGGTATTTCATATATCTCGTTATAACATAAATTTTACGCAGCTATGATCTACAGATCATAAAAGACTTTTCCGGATCAGCCCTTCTATAGGCATTCAATGTTTTGAAACTTTTAAATTTCTAAAGAACTTAAGGTAGATCAAGATCGAATGTTGCTCTATATTTTACGGATGTCGAAAAGACCGTAGTATACTGCTCATTAATCTATTACCAATTTTAGATTGATTATTCGATTTACAGATTGCTCAAAGAATATATTGGTTTAGGCATTTCTAATATCTTTTAAAGTAGTTAATAAGGTTTATGTAATTCCTTAAACGATATGACGGATTTGGCTATTAAAGATCCATAAAAGTATTTGATCAAAACCTATTAATAAATCACAAATAGTTGTTGTTAGATGAAAGAAATTAATGAATTTAAATCCATAACCAATATTCTTTTTTTAGTAAAATCAGTAGCTGCGATTTATTTCGATTGAAAAAAAAAATGGAGCGCAATATAGTTCGTTATGCGTTGTTTCGAAGAGATCCTTTCCTAGTGCTTCAGGCGGTACTCGTAGCCTCCATTGGAAGCATATGAACCCGACTTATGTCCAAATGCGAAGCTGGAACCAAAGCCAGATCCATGGCCTGATCGTCCAGAGCCTTGCAGTGAGCCAGCTCCAAATCCATGGCTGGATCCCTGACTGCCAGCATAGCCAGATCCTTGGCTAGATCCCGAGTAACTCACATGCGAGACAGCTGGGGCAGCATAGGTCTTCCTAGCAACAGCTGGAGCAGCATAAGATCCATGGGATACTGCTGGAGCGGAATAGGATGATCCGACCGAGCTATAAGTGGACTGCGATGCAGCTGGAGCCAGATATTGCCTGGAAGGAGCAGCCACGGGGGCGGAGTAGCTCGTGTGGGTGGCAGCTGGGGCGGAGTAGGAGCTATACGAAGCAGCTGGTGCGGAATAGGAGCCATGAGAAGCACTGCCAGAGGAGTAAGATCCATGGGACACGGCTGGAGCGGCATAGCTCTTGTGGGAAACTGCTGGAGCGGAGTAACTGCTATGGGATACAGCAGCTGGAGCTATGTACTTTCTGGAAGGAGCGGCCACCGGAGCAGAGTAGCTGGTATGGGAGGCCGAGGAGTACGATCCACGAGATACGGCTGGGGCAGAGTACGATGAGCTGTGGGACACAGCTGGAGCGGAGTATGATACATGGGATACCGCTGGAGCCGAGTAAGATCCATGGGAAGCAGCTGGAGCAGAGTATGATACATGGGACACAGCTGGAGCCGAGTACGATGAACCTCCAGAGCTGTAGCTACTGTGGGATGTAGAAGCAGCCGGAGCCAGGTACTGCCTGGAAGGAGCAGCCACGGAGTGAGCCTTTCGGGCATAGGTAGCTGCAGGAGCTGCATAAGATCCTGAGGAACTAGAGGCCGCTGCACTATATCCACTCTGGGCACCCACTTTCGGTGGCAGATAGGAGTTGCTTAACGGGGTGACCAGGCCGACGAAGGCCAAGGCACAAATCACAATTGCAAAGGAACGCTGGAAATAATTAAACGCTGTGAATCCCAAAAACTAATCCGGAATATTTATAAACACTTACCATCTTAATTGGAGTCTTGGTTAGTTAGCTTTTCTAGCTGCTGTTCCAGCGTTGGGGCAAGTGGAACTGATGCCTCAGCAGCCGTGAGCCAACACTTTTATAGGAGATCTAAGACACCCAAACAATGGGTGTGCAGGTGAGTACAAATCTTCCAAATCCCCGAAAGACGCACACACAAAATAGCAAAGTAAAAAAGCACAAAAAACCTAAAAAAAAGAGAAGAACTGAAGCGCAAAAAATAAAGCAATGCTATTAGAACGCAATGGAATGGGCGGCAGTGGTGGCTGATGATGATCGTAGTTTTGGTATCTGCTGTTGGTCCAACAAACACTCGACTACAACACAATGGTTCCGAATAATACTCACTTAACTATTTAGTTTCCAACGCCTTTCTGCCTTTACGATTTACGCCAAATTTTTTATATTAATATGGGAAAAGCATTTACATATTTCCCACGATCTGCAAAGAGCAAATATTTACTAGTTGGTGTATTTATAAAAATTAACTTTAGGAATTTAAAGATTATAATTTTAGAATATACTTCCTAATTGCTTGTATAACTTAGTTGTCTTATTGGGTAATCGTTTAACTTGTTAAAACGATAAACTTGCCGGTACATTGAAACTTATTTGAATTTCATATACATAGGCTTTCTCTTACTAAGTCACTTAAGCTCAACGTATCTTGCAATTGTCAATCAGAAACAAATTGTATTCCCAAAAATCGTAACCCTGATGATCAGTGCCAGTAAAGATTGGCGCGATTGGAGGATGTCGTAGACTCTATTTATTGGACTCTGTTTATTTTTAGCCCTGTCCATTTCGGAAGTCGCCGAGAGTAATTAATGATTCGCTGTGCCGCGGGTGAGAAGTTCGCGGGTTAGTGAGCCGGGTAATCCAATCCAAGTTAATCCAAACTGAAAGAAAGAAAAAAAAAAAAGAACATTAGTTAGTTTCACAGTTCAGAGACTGGGTATCGAATCGGATTGGATTGGATTTGTATTTCGATTTCCGAATGGAAAGCCCCTATGCAATGACAGCCCGCGTCTTGAGGCAACCAACGATTACTCACCTCACACACATTAATTATAATCCACAGAAATCGAGGGCTTAATGGTCAGGCACCTTTTTGCATGTATACCCAAATGTTTATGTCTTTTGCGTGCGTTTATATAATTAAATCAAAATGCTAAGAGAAGAGGAATTAACAACAAACAAAAAATTGCTCAAAACAGAAAAACAAAAAATCAAAACAAGAGGATAAGATGATTGTGGATGTTAAAAATACCCTTGTAGGTCTATATGATCATGAAATTTGCATAAAAATTGTCAGAGTCATTTCGGGGGGAATTTATTGTTGAACAATTTATCGCCATAACTGTTAAAAAAAAACAAAGCTGTTATCATAAGCAATTGATTTACTACCTGTTTTTTTCCGACAACAAAAATTCTTTTTAATACGATTAGCAGAAAATAAGAGACAATGGGTCGATTTTTGAAAAGGTATTTGAATATACAAGAATATTACTTGTACTTTTTAGAACAAATAGGAATTTATGATAATTTAAAATCAAATTCATTATAAGTGCCTGTATTTATTAACTCTTACTAAAAGCCACCATACCCATTTAGAGTTTAGAGTAAAGCCATGATAATAAAAAACATAGTAATTAATTTTTGACATTGCGGTGCGTACTTGACTGAGGTGAATAGTCAATGGGGATTCTTTTTGAAGTTCATTTTTGTCTGAGCATTGCTTGGTTGTAGTCTTGTCGCAGAACAGTTTTTCGGAGACTTTAAAACTAATTTCAAATGTAGTTAAATGCTTTTTATATAATAAATTGTGGTTATTAGTTTATATTTTACTTTAAATAGGTTTGTGTTTAATATACATTTTTTAGTTTATTAAAAGTGGAATCTAACTGAAGTCCATGAAATCGAAACTTGATGTCTATTAATATACTATGTTGAAATGCTTAAATGGCAGATACTTTATAATATTCAAGAGACTTTTATATAGAAATTCTAATCACAATTATCTTTGTTTCGTGAAAATCTAAAAAATGAGAATTTAATGTAAATGAACTTCTAATACTTGGCACTGCTTAAATGTGTATTTAAGTCTATGAGAGATTTCATAAAAGAAATGAAATTATAAAAAAAATGGCAATTAGTGTTTCCATAATATATTATCACTTCCGAAGTCTGGATATTTGCTCCAAATCCTTAGCGTAGGCAACGAACAGAATATTGTGCTTCCTTTCCACGGGCTTGCCATCATCCTGGTCATGGCGCACCTGAAGTGTGTCCGAGTCCAGGTTTATGCTGCCGACTATTTGTCCGGGTTTCAGGTAATAGTTCTGACCCAGTGAAGTGGGCCGATGTTCGGTGACAAAGTTATACCTCATGGGTATCATCTCCTCAATGTCGAGATTGGGACTAATCGTAGTCACCATAGCTTCCCTTTCCATGTTGCTCACTGGTTGGGCACCAGTGGATGCTAGCAGCGTCATTGCAATGATGACAAGACTTGAGTTGATCGACATAACTGGCTTATGTAATTGAGCGATGAATATGAATCCGAATTCTGTTTCCTCCTGCGGACGATGGCTTAATGCGTTTCTGAGCTGCCTTGCGGCATTCTTTTATATCCTGAGCCTTCAGGAAGAGGGCTCTGCCCCAGAATAATGGCCTGATTCTTGGAGATTCTTTTCGCCTTTCAATTGTTTTGCTCGCTGGAAATGTATTTTGTTTTTTGCCCTGCTCGCTTTGGGCATAACAAGTTTTGGACATTAACCCGATTTCGAATGTATGCATGCTTATATATATATAATATATCGGATGTATATAATGCGCACACGACACTTTGGTCCATTCACAAGAGAAACGTCTGAGGCAGTGGAAAAGGCAAACAGAAATGCAAATTCGGACATACAATTCGCCATATAAACATATATATATATATATATATATATATATCCGTATAGGGTATAGAGTGGGATTCGCCTCGCCTGACGACAGACATAAATTCACGTAGCCAGTTGCACGATCTCAAATCTCGGTATGTTTTTGCTTTTCACCTCGATTGGAACCGTATAATTAATAAGCTCTGTTTTAAATGGCAAATAAATGCTTAGCTGGACGTGTTTATTTATCATTTTGCTCGATATTTGTATTTATGACTTCTTGATTTCCGATTTCTTCCGTTCAATGGTTTTCAAATTGCATAACATTTTGCTAGCACATTTTCATGGGTTTTGTTTTCTTTGGTTTTGAAATGACTGCATTGAGGTTTCTTTGAGATCGTTGACTGTTTAATTGACTGTGATGTTGCGGTTTTATGGCATTTTTATAGGATTTAAAGGAGGCAAGGTGATGTGAAAGCGGCTTTTGGTTAATGGTTATGTGTTTCTCCAATAAAGCCATATACAAGATAAAACTTTAACTGTGCAACATTTGGAAGCTGGGCAATAAACTTTTGAGGCTGAAAGATCACTGTAAATTGCTTGGCTAACAACTATCTATAAACATGTTTTAAGAAATAAACAAATTAATTGTCTTTAAAGATACCGGATCTATGCAAAAGCGATTACGCCTCTTGGGGAATCCCCTGATGACTACAGTTTAAGAACTGGCCAAACCAGAAAAATCTTTACCATTCATCATAAAGAACTTGAACTATGTAATCTCTATGTAAGCCTTTTTTTTTACCACAAAAGGACACAAAATTTGATCTATGCTGATATTATGCCCAAGAACCTCAGAATTCTGATCATAACTACGCCAAAAATTGTTCAAATATAGAATGCCATACCTCGTTAGGCTCGTAATTAAAACTCCAACAAAACTACATTCACACCTAAAAATGTTAATATTTATCTATTTTTTGCAACTGTACCCCTTATCGAAAATGCGAATTTTGTGTTCTCCAAACTCGAAAGCATTTTGTTCCTAACTTGGCCAATAATGATCCGAGTGTGGAATGTAATACCTCGTTGAGCTTGTTTTTCATTTCTTAACAGATCGGCATTCAAATCTGAAAAAGAAAATTTTTCGTTTATTTTCCGTAAATAAAGATGATGTTACTTACCCCTTTTTAATGAAGCAAACTTTGGCTAATGCCGATTTCCCCCTCAAAATGACAATATTTCGTCCATTACCAAGCCAATGATGGTATGTAATATAATACATTTTTAAAGTTGTAATCCAATTCATGATCTGCATTCAAATCTGAAAAAGGAAATTTATAATTATTTTTTTGAAAAAGAAAGATTTTATAGTAAAGCAAAATCTGGATAAAAATATATTTTTTAAGCTAAAGTTTTAAGAGGACTCACTGCAAGCATGCAATATACATTGTAGATAAAGTACGACAATCGTTAATATATATTTAAGAGATGCCCAGAAGCATGTTAAGGTTGCTATAGAAACCGAAAGGTACCGCATATAAATAAATAAATTAATAATGATTGTTTAAAATAATTTAATTTAAACTTAAAGGTCACAGCAGCCAGTGCTCTGTAATTATCTTTTAGGTTTGCCATTATGCCTGCGGCTAACTCCCTTTCTGTAGCTTAGTATTTAAACCTCAGTTCTGTTTTTGGTGCACAAATAAATAATTAATTAAAACTTGTTTATGTGGTTATGTGACTAATGCATTAAATTAAGCAAATAGCTTCTATCACTAATGAAGAAACCGCAGCGAAACTTAATATTCAACCACCAAGTTCCAGGTATTCTGATTATTAACATTTCTGACAGTCAGAACTTTTAAACTTTAAAAACTGCAAAAAAGGATTTTACCATTTGAGATCTTAAAAGATTCCATCGATTTAGCACATTAGATTCGATTTATTATAAGAAAAAAAAAGGTTTCGTCATATGATTAGTTTCGTTTTGGGATGCAGTCTTTAGTAGACGTATCCACCGTTGGAGCCGTACACGGTGCCAGAGGATCCGGAGTAGCTGCTGACCACAGCGGGTGCAGAGTAGCTGGACACAGCGGGAGCAACATAGGTCTTGGCCACCACGGGGGCGGTGTAGGTGGACACAGCTGGGGCGGAGTAGGTCTTCACCACAGCGGGAGCGGTGTAGGTCTTAGCAACCACGGGAGCGGTGTAAGTCTTAACCACTGGAGCGGTGTAGGTGGAGACAGCTGGAGCAACATAGGTCTTGGCCACCACGGGGGCGGTGTAAGCCTTAACCACGGGAGCGGTGTAGGTCTTGGCCACAACGGCGGGAGCGGTGTAGGTAGACACAGCAGGAGCAACATAGGTCTTGGCCACCACGGGGGCGGTGTAAGCCTTAACCACGGGAGCGGTGTAGGTGGAGACAGCTGGGGCAGAGTAGGTCTTGACCACGGCAGGGGCGGTGTAGGCCTGGGTGTAGCTGGACACAGCAGGAGCGGAGTAGGTCTTCACAACAGCTGGGGCGGTGTAGGCCTTGGTCACGACGGGAGCGGTGTAGGTGTTGCTGTAGCCGGACACAGCTGGTGCGGAGTAGGTGGACACAGCTGGGGCGGAGTAGGTCTTCACAACAGCGGGAGCGGAGTAAGAGGAGACAGCTGGGGCGGAGTAGGTGGTCTTGGTCACCACTGGGGCAACATAGCTGGCAGAGGGCTGCTCGTAGGTCTCCTCGGCGGCGGTCTCAGCGGCGTAAGAGGCAGTCTCAACGGCGGCAGCAGCAGGAGCGGCATAGGACTCGCTGTTGTAGGAAGCAGCAGGGGCGGAGTAGGACTCGCTCTCGTAGGTGGATGCGGCGGGTGCTTCGTAGGTCTGAGAAGCGGCAGCCTCAACGGGGGCAGCCTCGTAGGACTCGTAGCTGGAGGAGGCAGCTCCAGAGTGAGGTGGCAGGTAGGTGTTGGTCAAGTGGCTGACATCGGCGGAGGCCACAGCCAAAAGGGCAAGAGAAAGGATGGCGAAGAATTTCTGAAAAAGAAAGAAACAAAATGTTAAAATAATTTCTCTAGAAGATTTCTTGATAATCATCCGATTCCTTTAGAGATTGTCCAGTTGAGAAACAGGATATCTCTAGAGGCTTGGAGCTTACCATGTTGCTGGGACCGAAGTTGTGAGAACACTAGTACCTTCTCCACAAACAAGCCACTTATTTATAGTCGCCGAAAATGTCTGGCCAACTTGATACACGAATGTCAAAAGGCGCTACGAAAACAAAACCAGAACAAACGCCACACAACGAAAGCCACACAAACTATATCGCCTATATCGACTCCAAAAACCCGCCATTCGAAAATAAAAGAGCAATAATAATGAAGCATTTCGTCCGGCGAGCTCATTAGTCGCCCATAATATTCCACCTTTTCTCCCGTTCACTCCCCATGCGGATTTTGTGATTCTCATTCTGGAACTCAATCTAAGTCCATGCCTGAATCCAATTCTATTTTGCGAATTTTGATCATGATGTTGATAAAGGGGTAGAAATGCTTCATATACTCATACATGAGAAATGGCAAACACAAGCTCCATACGAAACTCGTTATTGAACACCATTCATAAGGCGGCGGTTCCGTCAGTTACTCATCCATCAAAGCGGAATCAGATTTCCAAATCGCTCTGGCCCACACAAAAGCCCTCGAAGAAGAGCAATACCGACCGACTTCTAAACAGTTAGTTCATTAATCATTAGTGGGGACTTACCTGGAAAACAATGGCTTACATGAAGCTGAACACATGTCCGCTTAATGGGAAACACCAGAAGTTGCCAACATCCTTGAGGTCTCTTTACAAAAATAAACGATTAATATCAATTGATTATATTTTAGAAAACGATTTAAATCATATCTTACTCTTTAAAAATGATCGAAAAAGGATGTATATGATGCGCTGCAACTTTCTGAAGACCAAGAGCTAGAAATATGATGGGAGATATTGTCATATACATTCAGCGTCCACGTCATTTCCGAAAAAATGAATTTCCGGAAAAATATATCCATGATGTGCTGCATCCTCCTGCAGTTCAAGTACCACCAATATGATAGGTGGTACCATGACTTCACATCCAAACTATCACAATGAAGTTACTTGACTGATTTATGGGGTATCCGCAAAGCATAGTCCTGACTTCTTAGCTAGAAGCAGTTGATAATTACTGATACCCTGGAATGCACAAAACTTCGATTAAAATTGATTTCATATATAATAGCCTTATTAACATTGCCGTTAGCATTTAAAAAAAATGACCATCTTCTTTATTTTCTTCTTTAAATTCTCTTTGGAGTCTGCTGAACCCAGTTAACACACTCTTAAGTAATTCTTTAACAAAAACATCAATAAATATCAGCAGTTTAGGAATTAAATTTAGCTATTAGATGATAATGTATCTACTTTATAATTTATTATAACGAAAAACCTAAAGCGGTTTAAAGTGATTTATAATTTGGGTTGACTTACCGTTTTGTGAATTTGCCATAACTCAAGTCGCAGATATGAGATGGAGTCTAGCGATAAGTACTGGAATTTTAAGAGTTGTAATAACTATATGTTAGATTTATATTTTAAAATATGTTTATGGATATACAAATGTTATTTAGATATTAACTTGGATTTAAGTAATATTACTTTGTAATCATTTAATGTAAGCATAAAATCAAGTAGACCCCTTGAATGATTTAAAAGTAAATTATTTTTATAAATTAAATGGTACTTTAATGGGCTATTGTTTTGTTAACCCTGAAACCCAAATGAAAGTAAATTAAGTTACCAGTTTGGGTTGCCCCATGTCCTGCTAAAAGTGTCAACTAATTTCAATGAATTTATAATGCTGTCATTTGAATGCCTCACGACTTCCTTCTCGATAAAATATTCAAATGAAGATTTATAACAAAAACGGTTTATTGATCAACAAAAGCATAACAAAAATTGTATAACGAAAAAAAAGGTGCTAGAAATTGGCTACGTAACACTAAGTTCAGATGAACCGATCAGCGATGAGCGTTCGATCCCCAACTCGATGCGAGTTCGGACCTCCGCTGGGGTCCGTTCACTGGCATTCTACTTGTACAGGTAACCACCGTTGGCGGCATAGCTGGTTCCGATCTCCACGGGCACTGGAGCGGGAGCGGACACGATCTCAGTTTTCTGGACAATGGGAATGGGTGCAGGAATTGAAACTGGAACTGGAGCTGGAGCTGGAGCAGGCTGGGTGTAGGTCACCTGCTGTTGCACAGCTGGTGGGGTGTACTGTACAATGGGTTGGGATGGCTGCTGGACTTGGATGGGAGCAGGTGGTGCTGGCACAAAGGATTGCTGCAGCTGGACAGGAGCTGGAGCAGGGATGGAAATCGGAACAGGAGCTGGAGCAGGGATCACTACTGGTGCTGGAGCTGGTGCTGGGATCACGACTGGTGCTGGAGCAGGAAGGGAGATCTGAACTGGAGCTGGAGCAGGAATGGACACCTGAACGGGAGCTGGAGCTGGTTGAGGAGCCTGGTAGGAGTAACCATTGTATTGTGGCTGCTGCACAATCTGCTGGATTGGTTCAGGGATCGAAACGGGAGCCGGAGCGGTGTAAGTCTGCTGCACGACGGGAGCGGGGGCCGAGTAGGTCTGCTGTACCACAGGTGCAGGAGCCGAGTAGGTCTGCTGCACTACAGGAGCCTGCTGAATAACCGGGGCTTGCTGGATGACCTCCTGCACCACGGGAGCTTGCTGGACCACAGGAGCAGGTGCGCTGTAAGTCTGTTGGATTACGGGAGCCTGCTGAACGACTTCCTGAACCACTGGAGCTTGCTGAATAACAGGAGCCTGCTGGATAACAGGAGCTTGCTGGACAACTGGTGCTGGGTAGGAGTAGGACTCCTGAGCAACTGGAGCGGGAGCAGGGGCAGAGTAAGACTGAACCACCTGAGTCTGTTCCTGAACGACTGGAGCTGGAGCCGGAGCAGAGTAGGTTTGCTGAGCCACTGGTGCAGGAGCAGGAGCAGGAGCAGAGTAGATCTGCTTAGCCACTGGGGCAGGAGCACTGTAGAATTGTTCTTGAGCCACTGGAGCAGGAGCAGGAGCGGAGTAGGTTTGCTGAGCCACTGGAGCGGGAGCTGGAGCTGGTGCAGAGTAAGTTTGCTGGGCCACTGGGGCAGGAGCACTGTAGAACTGTTCCTGGGCAACTGGAGCTGGAGCAGGAGCTGGTGCGGAGTAAGTCTGTTGGGCCACAGGAGCAGGAGCACTGTAGACTTGTTCCTGGACCACTGGAGCAGGTGCTGGAGCAGAGTAAGTCTGCTGAACTACTGGAGCTGGAGCGGGAGCGGTGTAAGTCTGTTCCTGAACAACCGGAGCTGGTGCGGAGTATGTCTGCTGAGCCACTGGGGCGGAGTATGTCTGGTGAATAACCTGGTGCTGTTCATGGATGGCAGGAACTGGAATTACGATTGGGAATGGAGCGGGAGCGGGAACGGGAGCGGGAGCTGGAGCCGGAGCTGGGGCGGTGTAAGTGGTGGTGATGGTCTCCTGCTTTGGTGCAACGGTCTCAACAACTGGCTCTGGAGCAGGCACAAATTGCTGGACAGGAGTGGGTGGTAGGTAGGCGTTCTTCACCGCCGTCTGGGTGGCCACAATGGGCTTGGGTGGTTCATAGATCACCTGGGGAGCTGGCTGTGGGATTTCCACGGGTGCAGGGGCGGGAGCTGGAGCTGGGATCACCACTGGAGCAGGGGCAGGTGCAGGAATGGACACTGGAACCGGGGCTGGGATCGAAACTGGAGCTGGTGCTGGGATGGATACTGGAGCCGGAGCTGGGATGGAAACTGGAGCTGGAGCTGGTGCACTCTGGTAATACTGTTGTCCGCCAGATTGGATGGTGAAGCTAGCCAAAGGGATTGAGGCCTTGATAGATTCTACTTTGGCCTGGATCTTGGGCTTAATCTGGATCTGAGACTGGATAAGCTGCTGGATATGTGGCTGTATCTCCTGCTGGAAGCTGGGTGCAGCGGACACCTCCTTAACCGGCAGAGGTGGTAGATACTGGGCACCCGGACGACCGTTGACCACGACCAAGCTGAGAGCAGCCAGAACGACAAAGGCGAAGGGTTTCTGGACGAGAAAGGAAATCATATCATATAATCACATATCACTGGGGTTATCACTTGAAAAAAATAAAAAATAAAAGTAGGCTGAGATGAGATGGTCACTTACCATCTTCACTGGGGGTCACAGAAACAGATAGAGCTAGAGGTGCACCGAGCGAACGTAACCGATTAACTGATGACCATCTTGGAGACCCCGTCTGCATTTATAGTTGTCAGCTCTCCCCTTAATTGGTGCGATACGCCAGATGCCAGATGTTAAAGAAAAAATATACAAAAAAAAAAAAAAAACACCATGGAGCTGGGGGAATGCTAATGCAGATGGCCAACAATGAAATCATGCAAAACACATCTCATTTCGGTGCGGATTATTAAATGGCCAAAAGCACGACTCACCCGAAGTCACCGTTTGATAACAAACAGCCCAAAATGGTCGAGGAGTTATGGTTACACATCTAAAATTTTAATGTGCATTTTTAATTTTACTTAGGACTCTATTTTCTTTACCATCTCAGCCTATATGTTGAATATGCATCTTGAAATTATATAAGTGTGAAACTATTGAAAGTCCATAAAAGTAGTATTAATTTGAATTGCAGCTAATAGTATATTAACCCATTCAAGTTTCTGATTTAAAAATGTTGGTTAAATAGTGTAGGCTTATCTTAAACTAACTGGTAAAAGAAAACAATTTATAGATTTATTTATAAATTTTAACTACCTTAACTATTTTTCGTTCAATGTTACTTAGCCATAAACAAAGCTTAAAACAATCATCAATGGGTGTGCAAAAATAGTTTAAATATTTAACAATCACTAGCTTGGCATGGATTGTGTCCATCTGGCCAATTGACACCTTGGCCACTTCAACTTGAGTGCATTGACTTTTGTTTCCAACAGGTGATATAAGATGCATTTACCTGTTAGGATTTGTAAATTCGAGTTAAATATTTAAGGATGATTATCTGTTCATATTTAAGAAATTCATTATATTAAAAAATGTAAGCAATGAAAATTAAGAAAAAATAATCTTACAAAGTTTACAGATTTAACACTACGCTTGAAACATTTTAAATTTTTTCTCTTTTACGGAGCTTTAATAAATATTTTTTGATTTAAAAATAAATTTAATGATTCATAGCAGCCAAAATATGCAAAAATTTCTTTTTATCAAACTAAAATTTAACATTTAATATTTTATTTAAATTTTAAAAAAAATTGTTGGGAAATGTGTTAGACCATATATAGACCAGTGCCTTAAAAATTCAAGATATTGATATTTCCCTATTTTAGATAAGATAAATTTTGAAATCTTTATGTAGATTTATTCAATAAAAAGTGCTTATAAAAAACACAATTCTGAAAAAATGCATGTTACAAAATCTACAAAAAAAACTTTAATATTAGCATAAAAGAAACCATTTGTTGGTTGTTAAACTTTTTTAGTATTAAACTCGAAGATTTGCATAACCCATGAGAAATTTTCAGTAAATTTAGCATGATTTATAACAAATGAAGAAATTTAATTTATTAAAAGATGTTAGCTAAGTAAAACCAACATTCTCCTAAACTTAAAGTCCGAGACTTTTCAATCTCGCCCATTGTTTTAAGTTGAAGTTGTCAGGTTTTGAATTTATGAAAAGATGCTAATCGGTCATAATCGGGCCCACCACTAGGCCGATTTCCCAACTCTTGGAGATCTCAGTCGGTGGCAGACATGTGTCCAACCTTCGGACGTTTTCAATGGGCCATAACTTATTGGTAATCAGGGGCCACCGATTGTTCAGACGATCTCGGGATCTCGATATGGATATATAGATATTTTACATATGCATCTCGTAGGCGTGTGTCGGAGATTATGATAAGCATGTTATGGGCTTAAAAGCCGGGCGTTTCAAGATAATATTGTTAATAATCGTATAATAATAATACTGCCACAATAATGCGGATCTTCGGAGGTCACAAATTATATTTTTTTTTGTATGCAAACTTCTTTTGCATTTGGCGCCCCCTTAAAAGAAACCACACACGCGCCTAACACAAAAAGAAGCCCAGAAAAGTGACAAATTGAAAACAAGGTTCAGGTCCACGGACCACAAAAGAAAATGTCAAGTTGAGGGCCCCTGACAACCGCGGGCACAGTCTGGCTTAATTATGACTAATTGCTGTGCGAACAGCCTCTATATCCCAAAGCCATAGCTCACGATCACGATGAATATTCAACTTGGAGTCCAGCGAAAATTGCAACAAGCTGCTGAATTGTTGAATTGGATATGTTAACTGGGGGGAACAGCTGAATGTCCAGTTCGATTTGCATAAAATCAACCAACGAATGGCTTAAGGTTAAAGGCTGCTGTTAAACGATCTGCGAAATATGAGATCAGAGATCATATTAATCTATAATATATATCATAGATAATAATGTTAACATATCTTTCATATCTTAACCTAATCATATTAGCAGCACTTTTTATCAAATAACTAGGATAAGTAATCTTAAGGTAGGTGTAGACTAATCAAGTATTCTTAAGATGTTATGCATCTTATATTACAGACACTTAAATGTATTTATATATATAAATAGCTTATAATTATCAGCACTCTTGTGGACAACTCTTTGACCAATTAATACCCCCCACTGATGTAAGATGATAAAACCGAGGCACAAAAGCTGACAAAAGATCTCCCACCTTCATCCCGGACAAAAGACCAAAAAATAATTGTCTTCTCTTTTTGCCAAACCCATAAAAAAGATGGCATAAAAGCTTTTTTTTTAATGTGTTTACCGAATCGCCAAACACAACAACACCGCCCAAAAGTCAAAAAATTATAAATAATTCAGTGGAAACATTAAGAAAAGATGAATAGAAATTCAATTCGGGCTAGCTTGGGCCGTATTTTTTGTTATAATTTCAAACGTCTTTTGAAATGAATGCCCAAACATAGGATACGTATTGAATAAGTCTTTAGTTTTTTTTTTATCGATGGAAAAATCCCCTCGTCGATTCCCATCTTAAGCTTGAGAATGAAATTAATTAACATAAATGTTCTTTAAGGAAAACTCTTTGACGTCAGTAACTAGTTTTGGTCAAACAAAAGATCGTTTGGCTAAAAATAAACCAGACGATTCTACGAATTTTGCAGACTTTACAGATATCATTAACTCAAATCGATTAGGTTCGCCCTTTAAGGGGTCAAGTTTGTATTTTTTTCTTCACTTCTTTTCTACGCTTTTCTGTGACGTCAATTTGTAATTAAGTTTTTAATGAAAATCGCGTGTGCCTGACCAGAAAAGTATTTGGTAATGAAAGATAGTTAAGAGATTTATAGATTGTAATTTTTGTGGCTTTCAAAAATGTTTGTACATTTATGTTATGTTTGAATCTCAGACATGGCATTATTTTGGGATTTGTTATTTATATTTTATAAGAAAAAAAAAGAAATAGTAAAAGTTAGTCCTAAGAAATTTATGATAACAGACTTCTGATGCTAACTATATACAAATTCCTGTAGGATTCTGCTAGAGTTTTGTGAATTATATAACATTTTGACCCATTTTTATGGCATCACATATGTGACTTAGTAGCTCTGGCTACTTATGGAAGAATGACTTCACCCTTGTCTTTTCGATAAAAAGATTACTTAATTCCTTCCAGAAAAACCCGAATCAAAGGTCAATAAACCCTTAGGGATGCAGTCTGTAGTATATCATAAATAACGTGTGCACAAATCGATATTATTCCACGCCCAAGCCACTCATCATTTTGTGTTTATATTTTTGTATATTTTTTTGTTTTAGACTCTTATCGCCTTGTCTCGACTCTTGAAGACATCATAATTTATGAAACAGATGTCTCTGGCCACTTGGACCATGCATAAAACATATGTATTATACATATATCTATATCAATCACGGCGATAGATTGTCTCGTTTATGGTTTGTCAGTCAGTTTGGCGAAGACTTTGATTAGCATAAAGACAAACGTTTTGTCTGTCCGCAGGTTTTATGGCCAACAACACCAAAAAATAAATAAAAACACGGACGGACGGAAAAATACAAAACATAAAAAACGATGGTTGATAATTTATAATGAACATATTGATGTTGCACTTCTCAGTCCCCCAAGAAAATTGGGGCTATAAAACCCTTGGAATTATTTCTTGGCCCTCTGGTAGACATAGCCGCCATTCGTGGCGTAGACAGTGTCCGCATTGCTCTTGGGATCGTCGGCCAATGGAGGTGCCACTACCGTCCTCTCGGCTTCCTTTTGCGGCTGCTCCTTTTCTGGCTCATCGGAGTAGCCTGGCGGGGCTGGTCCACCGAATCCGGGTCCAAATTGCTGATAAGGATTTTGTCCAGGCACAGGTCCACCAAATCCAACGGGTACATTGAATCCAGCGGGATTGGGTCCTTGGAAGGGACCTTGTGGATTAGTTAAGGGCAGACCTTGGTTTGTTAGAAACTCTGGTGGATACTGAGCTCCTGGTGGAGGGAAGGCTCCTCCCTGTGGTGGGAATGGTCCTTCTTGTGGTGGGAAGTTGCCTCCTGGGAAAGCATTTCCAGGTACTCCTTGTGGTGCAAAAGGCACTCCTTGTGGTGGGAAGGGCCCAGCCTGCGGTGGGAAGGGAGCTCCTTGGGGTATAAATCCATTTCCTGGACCCCCTTGTGGTTGGAAACCTGCTGCGGGTGGAAAAGCTCCTCCCTGGGGTGCGATAAATCCGCCAGCTCCACCCTGAGGTCCTCCAGGAAAGGGACCTCCAGGGAAAGTTCCAGGCGGAGGCTGTTGGTAAGCCGCATTTGGAGGACCTCCCGGGAAAGGTCCACCGTTGGGATAGGCCGAAGGCACTGGACCGATTCCTGGACCAATTCCCTGTTCTCCTGGTCCCCCACCGAAGCCAAAGAATGGCGGATAGATGGGCAGTGGGAAGTTTGGTGGCTGGACAGGCTGCGGTGGAATGTTACTGCCTGTGGGAATGGCATAACCCGGCGGTAAAGGTAATCCAGTCGATGGATAGAATCCAGATGGATCTTTCTGGATCTCCTTGGCATCATTAGATCGTGTGTGTACTGCATTCTGTGAATCCGCATTGGGCGGTAAATAATCCTTGGGTAAATGACTCACATCCCCGTTGATCAAGGGAAGTAGGCCCAGTAGGACCAGAACGATCCATGGCTGCATCATCATCTCTCGTGTCTGGCTTAATCTCTGTGAGCTACCACGGCGGCGATGGGAGCTATGCGGCCACGGGCCCCAAATCCGGCACTTATAAGACATCATATCAACATATTACATAAATCGTCGGCCCGGATCATTTCACTTTCCCATTTTGGCGAACGGAAATTGCTTTGCATCATCACATAAAGGTTCCATAAATAGTCACTAAATCTGTCGATCGAAGGTGCCAAAGGTGCGAGGGGAAGTGCCGAAAACTGAACTATAAAAATTAATTTGGCGGCCGGACTTTACATAAATAAACTAACACCGAAATCGAATGCCAAATTTAGCATCGAAACAAAAGAGATGATGGAGAAATATATTTATGAAAGAAAAGAAAGAATAATGATAAAGCTATAACTTGATTTATAGGTTTAAGGTAAGTTAACTAAGTTCAGAATTTAGTAAACGACTAGTTTAAAGAAAATCAGTGTTGATAAAGCACTAAAAAAGCATTTAAAAATATTTTAGAAAACAAAGAATAAAGACAAAGCTATAACTTGATTTATAGGTTTAAGGGAACGTAAGAAAGTTGTGAAACCTAAGCAAACTTAAAGGAAAAACAGTGTTGGTAAATCACTAAAAAAGCATTTAAAAATTCTAGAAAACAGAGATTAATAACAAAGCTATAACTTGATTTATAGGTTTAAGAAAACTTAAGGATGTTCTGAAACTTAGCCAAACTTAAAAGAAATACAGTGTTGGTAAATCAGTAAAAAAAACTATTAACAATATTTTTAAAATTATTTAACTTACATTACTGCTAAGATTATAATGATTGACTTGGTTAGCCATAATTTAGAGGACTCAATAATTTCTAGAAAATATTAATCACTAGTTGTAAAAAGTTTATAAACATTCCAGTGTTGTATAATTCACTTTAACAAAACGCTTTTAAAAGAAACTACTAAATTTTATGCTACGTTTAACTAAAAAGCTTTTTAAAAAGCCTTAAAATTAGCAATAAAGCTTCAACGGAAAGTTAGTAACAGCTTCCAAGTTTAATCAAAGCTGCAAAACAGCTCATAAAAAGCCCAATCAAAGCTTTATGGTACATTTTTTTTTAGCTCAATAGCAATAAATTTCAGTGTTGTTAGTGTCTGTCTAAGCCGACATTCGCTGAATTGCTAAAAAGAAATATGAATAAGCCTGAATGCAAGATGGAAAATTATGAAGTTGACAAAAAACAGTCGTAAATTGATATATTAGTCATTGTTGCGGTTCCAATTTGAGTCAATGTTCTTGTTTTACTGGTTTTTAGTTTTGCCAAAGAACTAAGCTATTTTAAGTCGTGACTTCAAAATTCTAAACTGATGTCACTTAGTAAGATGTTGATAGTTAATGCATACAAATCATTTAATAACATTTGAATTGGAAATTGATATCTGCATTTATGCACGAGTTTCCTTTTATTATTTTCGGTTATTGTAAAGGTCAAAAACTTGTTGTCTTTTTATGTTATTCAAACCACTTGCTTCTGTCAACATTTTACAATGCTATTAACATTAAATAATTTGCATTTCCTTATTTTCTTCAGTTTTAGGATTTGTATGCCACGTTTTGGAACCAGTTTAAGATAACATAACTTAAGGTTTTGTAATTAAAGTTTTGGTGATGCTTAAGTGCTTTAGCCTTGAATGCGTGAAAATACAAAATGTAAGACATTTTGTTAGTATTGAGAACAATATCGTTTCTTAAGCTATTTAGTGTTAGTAATATCCTTTTCTATAATATAACTATTTTTACATGCTTTCCTGTTAGGAAAGAAGAGCTTACTAAATAAATATCTGTATCGACTAAGCTAAAGTTTGGAGACTTACATCAAATTACATATTTTAGGCATTTACACAGATAAATGCTTTACATTTTGGTTATTAGAATAGCTAAAACTAAGGTTTTTGAAGCCCGATCCGCGAAGTCCGATTTCCAAAGTTTAAATCATCATCCAAATGCCAAAGTTAGATTTCTACACGCTTAACTCCATTAGAGGAATCCACAAAGATCTATGTATATGTTAGTATCTTACATAATTTTGTACTAACACAATATACTTTAAAAACAATATCGATTAATAAGGGATTGATTTAAAAACCATCACCATTACTATACAAATAATACTTCTAAATGTTTTAACCTTTTGTAGGTTAAGTTCAGTAAGTATTAAATACTCCTTAAAACCTTAAACTAAATTTAAAATACATTAATTTTTTGGATTATTGTTTTTGTTTGTTTAATTTTCGGCGTTAACAAAGTTTACAATACAAAAAAAAATAGATGGTGATTTGGGGCAGTAGTATGTATGTATTTACACTATTTCGTGTTCAGTTGCAGGCCTCTGGGTTCGAGTTCCTTACTTCCTGTAGACGTATCCACCGTTGGAGGCATACTGGGTACCGACATCGGCAGCGGGAGCAGAGTAGCTTACCGATGGGGCGGAGTAGCTGACGGCGGGAGCGGAGTACGACTGCTGGACAGCTGGGGCGGAGTAGCTGACCGAGGGAGCAGAGTAGCTGACAGAGGGGGCAGAGTACGACTGCTGGACAGCGGGAGCGGAGTAGCTGACGGCAGGAGCAGAGTACGACTGCTGGACAGCAGGGGCGGAGTAGCTCACAGAGGGAGCAGAGTAGCTCACGGAAGGAGCAGGAGCAGAGTAGCTGACCGAAGGAGCAGAGTAGCTCACGGAAGGAGCAGAGTAGCTGACCGATGGGGCGGAGTAGGTCCTCTGGACAGCTGGAGCGGAGTAAGTCCTCTGGACAGCTGGGGCAGAGTAGGACTGCACGGGTGGCAGGTACTCGTTGCTGGGGGCGGCATAGGTCTGCTGGATGGCAGGGGCGGAGTACGTCTGCTGGATGGCAGGAGCGGAGTAGCTCACTGAGGGGGCAGAGTAGGAGTTCTGGACCGGTGGCAGGTACTCGTTGCTCAGGTGGCTAACATCGGCGGCCACGCAGGCGAACAGGGCGAAGGCAATGAGGAATTTCTGCAAGTAGGATAACAACACATTTCACATTAACACATTTACAAAGCACTAGAAAAAAATTTGTAATTTAAAAAATATATTTATAATATATTTTTTTTTTCTTTTTATGTACAACTTGTAATCCTTCACTGACCATTTTGGGTTTTTGTGGATTGTTTTGAAGCGACTGTGCTGGATGAGCTAGAGGCTGCGACTGATGCCGGTCCCTAGAGCGGGCTTTCAATTTATAGCAGCCGGCCGGTCCGAAGAAAAGCCCCGGCTTTGGAGCGGTCTCAACTGCAGCGGCAACAGCCGTTGAGGAAGAAGCAGATGATGGCGGTGATGGTGGGGGCGAAGAGGAGGCAAAAGCGGCCAGCGGACTAAGAAGAAGCCAACACCATAACCAATCAAAGACAAACAGCAGCTGGCGGGCGGGTTTAGAGGTGACTAAAGTTCAGACACTATTTTACAGTTTCAGTTTTCCAAAACAAATTGTCAAGAGAGAATATTTTACAACCAATTTAAGGGATTTGGCAATACATTACATAAATTTTTATCGTTTATAGTATTCTAAACATAATTACAATTCTGACAAATAATAAAAAGATCATTTAACCTTTTACAATGGTACTACTAAAAGTTACTAAAAATGAAAATATCCATTTACCATCTTTTAAATTTGCAAGCCACAATAACTAATTAATACAACCAATCCAACTATAGCAATAAAATAGCTAAAATGGCAACACTATTTGGGGCGGGGGTTGAAAAAAGAAAAAAAAATATAAAACAATACTAGCAAACGGAAAATCACATTAAAATTAAATTTAACATAAAACCAAACGAAATCGCACACGCAAACGGGTTTGGCTCATTTACAATATTTCTTTATTTTTTCCATCGGGTCGCAACGGGTTTTTGGCGGCGGGTGAACTACTTTGGGACACCTTTCGTGGGGTCTTCAATCAAGCTTATTTAGCTGGAGGATTCCGTAGTATATCGGTGGTGGAGCTTTTAGGGAGCCACAGAAAACCAGCAACAACTGAACACTAAGGGGGTTCCACTAATTAACATTCAATTTAACACATTATACGCGCCACGCAATCTTTTTTTTCACGTTTTAGCCACTTTTAACCGCTGGTTAACCACAGACATGGGCCGGCCCAGAAAGAGATCCATTTCCAGATCTGGCCTCGTCTGAGACACTCGTCTAGATTGATGGCCCCCAGAATGTCGTGTTAATATTTCTTTTTTTTTGCTTTTTATTTGGGAAACAGATCCACACTCGCACTTTCTAAAAAGCCATAAACATAAAGCCATCAGAGAAGCCGGCAGGCAGAAGACGGCCTTGAGAACAGCCGCCTTTAGAGTTACGAGTTCCCGAGCAGGCTTTACATAATAAGCAACAACTTTTACTCGCTGCCACATCTTGTGTCTTTGCATTGTCCGTGAACTTGAAATGCAGCGGACATTAAGCCTCGTGCACTGTCAGAAATTTATGGCACCAGAATTGAGACAAGAAATTGAAATTAATTATTGTCTTACATTCATAAAATATGTCAATTCGTACTTAAAATGAATTTTAGAGTACAGAGTACTGTTCTTAAAATTAAATATAGCAAATATTTCTTTATAGAATAAATTATTCTTAAGATAAATTATTTTTCATAATCTTATAACAAGTAGTATATTACCTATATAAGATATCCTATCTTATCTATCCTTAATCCTTAAAATCTACATTATTTTTCAGTGTAGCAGTGATTGTCAGGCATGACGACAAGTTGTTGCAACTTTCCGAGTTCATGGACTGGAGTTGGGGCAACTTGAAATCAATATGACCATTCCGAGAACTATAATTGGGCAACTGCGAACGGGAACAACTGATCCCAAGGCAGGTATTTCGAAACAGTTATTTCCTATAACGAAGTTTAATTAATGTGGTTGTCGATACTTAAATGACTTTAAGAATAATAAAATAAACATTTATAAAAGTTTAAAAGGCTTATTGGTTGTATTTATAATAAATTTCAATAATCTAAATTGGCATAAGTTATTCCCATAGTAAAGAAAGACATATATCATATAAAATATTTAAAAAAAACGTATATTTAAGGTTAATAGACTCTGGGGCTCTTAGTGATTAGACTTAGTAAACGTAACCGCCATTGGACCCGTATTGGGTTTCCTGTTCAGACTTAGCGTAAGTAGCCTGCAGATGGGCGGGAGTAATGGTGTCGCCACCGATGGCAATGGGTACATGGGTTTCGGGATTGAACTCCTCAATGCCATTCGAAGATGGCTCCTCGTACAAATGAGCAGGTGTGATGGTGTTAGCTCCAATGATGGTGGGGGCCTGTCCCTGTACGTAGGCGGCGATTAGGTGGGCGGGCTTCGATGCGGGAACGATAGCCTTGGCTTGGCTGTGAACGTAACTGGTCTGGGCCACGGCGGGCTGATAGGAGCTAGAATATGAGCTAGAAGATGAGCTAGAAGATGAGCTAGAAGATGAGCTAGAAGCAACAGCACTAGCGGAGGAAGCTACAACAGAGCTCTTTAGGTAAGACGGTGTGTATTCAGCGGGCTGGTAAGAGCTTGAATCTCCTCCAGGGACAACTGCTTCTTGCTCCTGCTCCTGCTCCTGAACATACTTGTAGTGAGCCTCCTGGTCAGCCTGAGGAATGAACTTTTCAGGGGTGTAGGTATCAGCACCAATAGCAGCAGGAACTGGTGCATAAGAATCAGCACCAATTGGTGCTGGAACGGAGGTCTTAAGATGGACGGGAGTGTATTCGGCGGGTTGGTAAGAGCTTGAATCTCCTCCAGGGACCACAGCTTCCTGCTCCTGCTGCTGCTCCTGAACGTACTTATAGTGGGCCTCCTGATCAGCCTGGGGAATAAACTTCTCGGGGGTGTAGGTATCAGCACCAATGGGTGCGGGAACGGAGGTCTTAAGATGAACGGGAGTGTATTCAGCGGGTTGGTAAGAGCTCGAGTCGCCACCAGGAACAACTTCAGCAGCAACAGGAACAATCTCAGCTGTCTTAAGATGAACAGGAGTGTATTCAGCGGGCTGGTAAGAGCTTGAATCTCCTCCAGGGACAACTGCCTCCTGCTGCTGCTGTTCTTGAATGTATTTGTAGTGGGCCTCCTGATCAGCCTGGGGAATGAACTTCTCTGGGGTGTAGGTATCAGCACCAATAGCGGCAGGAACTGGAGCATAGGAATCAGCCCCAATAGCTTCTGGAACAGAAGTCCTAAGATGAGCTGGGGTGTATTCAGCGGGTTGGTAAGAGCTAGAATCGCCGCCAGGAACAACTTCAGCGGCAGCATCGGCCGAAGACGACTGCTTAAGATAAGAAGGAGTGTATTCAGCGGGCTGGTAGGAACTGGCATCACCTCCCGGAACAACCTCAGCGGATTTTAAATGCTCAGGAGTATATTCAGCGGGCTGGTAAGAGCTAGAATCGCTGCCAGGAACAACTTCAGCGGCAGCATTGGCCGAAGACGATTGCTTTAGATAAGCAGGAGTATATTCAGCGGGCTGGTAAGAGCTAGAGTCGGCACCAGGAACAACCTCAACCGACTTTAAGTGCTCGGGAGTATATTCAGCGGGTTGGTAGGAACTGGCATCACCTCCGGGAACAACCTCAGCCGACTTCAAGTGCTCGGGAGTGTATTCAGCGGGTTGGTAAGAGCTAGAATCGCCACCAGGAACAACTTCAGTGGCAGCACCGGCCAAAGACGACTGCTTAAGATAAGCTGGAGTGTATTCAGCTGGTTGGTAGGAACTAGCATCACCCCCGGGAACAACCTCAGCCGACTTCAAATGCTCGGGAGTGTATTCAGCAGGCTGGTAAGAGCTGGAATCACCACCTGGCACTACCTCCGAGGAGGAGGAAGAGGCAGAAGAAGAGGTGAATGAAGAGGACGAGGATGAGGAGGAGGAGAATCCATAGCCTCCATCGGCGGACAGGCCCAATTTGAGGTGGCTGACGTCGGCGGCAACGAATCCGACAAAGGCCAAAGCAATGACGTAGAACTTCTGCAATCGAAGCAAAGAAATTAGTTAGGGATAAGAGGGTGGTGAGGGATGACGGGAATGTCCACCGGTGAATCCCCCTAGGACCGAAACTTACCATGTTTGGGCCGAATCTGTTGATCTGAAGAGGGACGTTTCAGGTTTTTATACCCACAAAAGATTATGGGCCTATGCTAATTGGAGTTTTGTTTTGATCTTCGCACGATTTGGTTCCTACATTCTGTGTGTCTAGCCCATCTGCCTGTTTTTTTCCCCAAATATTTTTTTTTGTTTTTTGGGTTGCGAATTTGCATAGGTAACATAACAAAAGCGGCGATCTTATCAACTTGATTAGAACCTCTCCGGGTCCGACCGCCTTGGCCTTTCCGTCAATTAAATTGTCGTTTGGTTTATACACAGAGAGAATATTAACAGCAGGTTCAGAATCGCTGATAGAAATCAGGCAGGAGTGGCGTTAAACAGACTTCCCAATAAGAAAACTACTTAAAAATTACTTATTTAGACCAACATTTGTAAAGTAATACATCTATCTAGTTTAAGTTATATTAAAAATATTAATTTTTCTTACAAACTAACTATTTCTTTCCCTGTACAACTATTTTAACTTCATCCTACCGATAGTTCGCTAAATGGAGGCACTGATTAGCGCCTGGCAAGTTCAGCCGGGTGTCATAATCGGCTTGGAACAACACAACCAGTTCCTCGTCTTTTGGCCAAGAGTCTTAGATCTGCCAATGAGTCTGCTAATTGGGCTTTGGGAAATCAATCGATGGATGCTTAAACTTGAGTTGATACTGCTTATTAGGCGACGATCGATCGAAATAAAAACCGTATGCACAAGAACGGACTCGTTGCATACCCCGCAAAACTATAAAGTAATAAAGCCAAAAAAAAGGGGCAGCATTTAATTTAATTTTAATTGATTCAGTTTGCCAACAAAAAATATCCAGTTTCGAATTAGTTACGCCAACTTCGCCAACGATGCTGAATGAATTATAATAATAACCTTTATATAAAGTCTCAGCTTACATTTTATGGATGCATTTATAAGCGTAAAAGATAGTTCAGTCGATTTTATGGTTATCATTTGGTGAAATTAGCTTAACATAATAAATTTAATGGTTTAACATTGGAAGTCGTGCAAAACTGAAGAAACACACTGCAACCAAGATCATGAAAAGTACAGTGATTTTAAACCGATTTTTTTGGACACAGAAATAGGAATTTACCAATGTTTGGAGTCTAAGGATTATTAGCATTTATTTTAGTGAAAAATGGTAAAATCAACATTTTTTTATTTCAACGCACATTTGCAAGGAATTGAATTGCAAGTTAAACAGGCTATCCACTCCATATTTGGACCATTTTTGGTTTAGTTATGAGCAAAATACTGTCTTTTATACAGGAAAATAAGGATTAACCAAATTTTCCATTTCTAATATCATTTTTTTTTTGCGAAAAAGGACAACATTTTGACATTTCAAATGCACATTTGATAACAATTAGAAAACAAGCTCAACGAGGCATTACATTCCATATTTGGTTCATTATTGCTTTAGTTATAAGCAAAATACAGTCGTTTTGGGGGGAAAATTTGATGAAATCAAAATTGATTTTCTTTTATCATAATAAAAATTTCCAAAATCAGACAAAATTTGGCATTTCAAACTGAGAAAGCAGATCGACTAGAAATTATAAGACAAACTCAACGAGATATTACATTTCATATTAGGACCATTATCGGCTTAGTTATGGACATAATACTACTATAATTTCGAATTTTTAGTTTTTCATACAGTTGTTTTCTGACTAGACTGCCAGAATTAACGAACATTGAACTGGGAGGAACCATTCAAAACTCGTTTATGGCCAATCGGATTTCGGTTTATTGATTTGTTTTGTCAAAAAGATGAATATAGATGGTCCGTCAATAGAGCTTATAGCTTAATTGTATGAAAAATGACTAAATAAAGGAGTATTGAATAATAATTAATGGAGATCTGAGAGGTGGCGTTATAAAAAATGGCCATAATTGGGTATATTTAATTACTTAATACGTTAGAGTAGTAGATTTTAAGTTAAATAAACTAAAAAACACTAACACATAAGCTTATTGTGAATGGCTTAGGGCTGAAAGTATAATTAATTCATAAAGAAGATTTGCATTTCTTGATAGAGGCTTATTTATGTTAATATATCTATTAATGATATAAAGCTAAGTATAATGACGTCAATATGGTTTTTAATATGTCTATAGAATGTTAATGTTACATTTATTTATGTAACATAAAAATGTTTTGATTTCTTTCTGTAAGTTTTGAAAACTACAGGAAAGTTTCTTTCGCATAAAATTAATGCATACAATCCCATAATGGGCCATAAACTTATGAAATTGATGTTTTTTATTTAAATTAATATTTAATATGCAGAACTTTTGCAGTCTTGCTTTTGTTATTTTTGCAAATTTATTCAGCTAATTATGTAGATTTTTGTTTAGGTCAGTCTTATTTTTACACCGCTAACCCCTTTTTCGAACTATCCTCCCTCCCTATGACGCCCATCGGATTCTTAAATATCTGGAATTATATTTTTAGAGCATGCAAATTTGTAGGAATAACCACTTTTTGGCCAAGTTCACTGTCTGCTTGGGTCACATCACGAATGATTCATTCTCAGTTTCAGAGATTTTTGTTTTTGCCGATTCGGTTCGCAGCATCCAAACTCGTTTTGGTACATTAACTTTAGGCCTAAAACATATACAGACTTGAGATGTCTTGCCTTGTCTGGACAACAGTTTTATTTTTGTTTGCCTTTGCTTTGATTTTATTATGAAAATTTATGCTTTGAGTGGTGTAATTAAAAAACAAGAACACAATAAAAAATTTAGCCAAATATATTTATGGCCTTTATGTAAAACAAATGTCAGAGTCTGTCTTAAAATCAGGTTGAGCGACTAAAGATTTATAATTATGGTTAGATCTTAAATGTATGTTTCTAAATAATATATATATATACGATGATCTACAGATTTGTTTTCGTTCTTTCCCTTTTGTTGTCAAACAATAGATCAAGTTTAAAAAAGTGTCTATAATACTTTTATTGATATTGATTATGCATTTGCGAGGCAAACTTGTTGATGACTAAAAAAAAAGAGGTGTGGACTCCAAATGGGAACTGAGCCCTCAATCAATTTTCGATTGATCTTGGACTTACACTGTGAAAAATCATCTAACACTCGTCGTGAAAAGTGGTTTTAGGTTAGCTCAAAGGCTTTAGAAAATGAAAAAGTTTACTTTTTACAAAGCAAATATGCCTCTATAATATCTATTTACTAAATTCCCTTTCCTCGATCATGTTTTTCCATAATTTGGCTAATATTTTTTCTCAGTACAAAATATCTATATATACCTTACACTCTACGTTTTCGGTTGGCACTCTGATATAGTTGATTCTTCACTGGTAGCCGCTGGGGCTTTTTAAATATTTGTGCAGTTCGCTTGTTTAAGGATGGCAAATGTTTGCCCGGGGTCTCGGCCCTCGGCAGCGGCCATAAAACAATTGCGGAACCAGCGACAAAAGCGACAAATTGTTTGGCCCAACAGCAACTACCATATACCCCTTTTGGCACTATGAAACCTCCTTCCCCCCTCTTTTTCTTCTTGTTAGCCATGTCTTTTGGCCAAGTCTTTAGTTGGAGTGGCCGGCGATCGTTATGAGAGAAAAATGATGCTTAAATATGACAAGCACGGTGTTGAGCTCTTAAATAACGTTTGCCAAATTGCATTTATGTTTAACATTTTGCAAAAGCCCAACAAAGGCCGCTGTTTGCAAGTTGCAGTTGCTCTTGGGCAATTCGTGATCTTCGAAGAGATCTGTTGGTTGTGGGTGTCTGATGATATGTCTGGTTCAGAATCATCAATATGATAGATAAATTATAGGTTGGCATTGTCAGTTTATGAATGGGAAATCCCATCAATCAGTAACGGACTTTTTTTTTGGCACATATGATGTTAATTAAATAATTAGCCGACTTTTATGGTGTTTCTGTCAGCATTTAAGTGTGAAAAATGATTCATTTGATATATCATTTTGCATGTCTGGGTTGTTTTGAAATTTATTAAAGGTTTTTACTTATAATTATATTTTATTATATATTTTAATGAGGAAGATTTAAAGTATAATTTAGTTTTCTTATTAGGAACAGTTTTTTTTTCATCTTTCAAGTGACTGTAGCTTAGCATTCATAATTCTACTACCGACTGTTTGCCAAATTCCAGCATTATTTGAGGCATTGCAAATATATGTTGAAAACTCAATGCTAGATCGGCATGAATGCAAAAAACGCTTTGGATCTGGCATATTTGTTCCGTAAATTCTCGAATACTTGCCGAAAGGCAAACAGTTTCACGGCTTAATTCGTTAGCTAAACACAATGAGAAGCGCGTAGAACGCCCCTTGGAATTTTTGTTGTTGAGCATTTTCATTTGCGTTGACCGACTTTTAGACGTGGAAAATGTGTTGAAGCAACATAAAGCCCAAAAAACAAGGAAAATCAGTCACAGGTTAAGCTGATGCAGCCAAGTTAATTAAATTTTTGTTTTTGGGAAATAGTAATGGGTTAGGGGGGACTTTTTCATCATAACATGCGTTAATTCGTTAAAAACGACGATAATCAATAGATTTCGAAGGTTTATCTGGTTTTTCTCTAGCACTCAAAGATCTTATTACTTGTTTGATTACTCGACAGAAATAAGGTGTCTAAATTCGGATCGCAGACCCTGACCTTCTCCGTCAAGTGCGAAACGTGTCAGAGAGTCCAAGACGAAATGGTATTAAGTTTAATCATTGTTTTACGACCATAATCCGCGAAAGTGAAGGGCAATCGAAGGAAGTCCGTCGAGTCGTCTGCTGAGATCAGGCAATTTGCCGCTTTTTGGTAGTAGCTTTTACGATCCAAAAAATGCGCTAATTAAAATTGTATTGAAAGCGAACAAAAAAGCAAAAAAAAAAAATGAACCCACAATTGTGTGTTTTGCAATCCGAATACAAAGAAACTTCTTTCTTTGCCAAAGCCAAAGATCTATTTGCTTGGCCCGCATAAT